CCCCCTAAGCGATATGTTGCATCTAAAGTTTGAACAATTTTTAGTATTCTTTTTAATAATAATACAACGACTATACTCCTAGTTTTTGCACATGATCGTGGTCAGGCAGTTAGTTGTCGCTGTAATCATCGAGATCTCAGGTTCAAGTTCAAAATTATAAAATTGTTTTGAGAATGAAATGTTTTGGTTCTCTATTTGCCCCAGTAATTTTATCCGAGAGTCTGTAAACCGGTTTCAATTTCCGGTTCGGGTTGGTTTAATTAAATAATATTTAAAAAATCATATAAAAAGAATTAACTGTTGGCTACAGCTGTATTATAATTTATATTTATAATAAGTTTTAAGAACGATATATAAATATCATATTGCTATAAGTAATTAGAAGCTGTCACCATCTTCTAAATGTGCGAGTCTAATATTACAAGAAAAGTAGATTATAAGAAATGGCCGGTTCAAAAGTCTCAAATTACAAGCGAAGTTATAGTCCCACGCCACACTCTTCTCTTAGAAATGTCTTTGACAATTAATACTTCTTTTTCATACTTTTCTAAATGCCGGATCACATTTTGAATAAATTACTAACCATGTGAATGGATTTTTCATTTGTCGGCACATGTGAATAGAAAAATGGATTATTTTATTTTATTATTCCTATCATTTTGACCATTGAGAGAAATCAGAACTGTTGCATGCAGTGACCACATGTTCTGTCTTTGACCAAATCCTAATCCTCATTGCTCTCAAGTCTCAACTCTTATGTTCACTGATTCTTTTTTTTTTTGTTAAATCTAACTTAACCGTGATCGACGGCTCATATCTTCTGACACTATATATATATATATATATATCCACATAACTAAGTGCGTCCCATTTTTGTGGTTTCGCTGCTTACTGCGATGATTTCGGGATTTTTATCTAAAGGAGCCAGGAACCAGATTACCCTCCAAACGAATTGATCCAATAACATCTATCCACACTTGTTTATGCTTATATATCTAAAATCTTTTTTTTTTTTGCCAATTGAAGAAAAGAGATTAGCTATATTTCAGGGATCTTAGCGTGTTTTTAATTTAACAAATATAATTGTTTGATCATGCACTCAAATGTTATAGATATTAATTATTGTTAAGAAACTAGAAATATATGTATACTAAGATTTAATATGTAACTAGTGTAATCAAAATAAGATAAACAATCGAGGACACCAATTCGATAAAATATCCCGAATTTACATGAATTGTTTTTTTTTGTAAGCCCCCCAAATATGACATCCATCGCCTAAATATCATATTTTCTTGTGACCAATAATCACACGCTAATAATGTTCACAAAAATATGTATCACACGCTAAAACTGTGAGTGTCCGATCGCGGATTTAAGTTTAGATAAACACAGAATTAAGTATAAACAAAATATTAAAAAATAGGTGTGATTCCATAAAAAGACGAAAACACATTGTTGCTACCTGCTACAACTACAAGCACTCAAGAAGACACGAATCATGTCTTCCCATTTGATAAGTCTCGAACCTCCATTTTATTTCACATGACACTATCAAGTTTCAACATCTCAAACATTTTTTTAAGATATGTACATTTTTTTTATTACGTAAAATTCATCATATTTCCGTTACTATAAATAGCGATAAGAATTTAATGGTAACAGAACAACGGTTACGATTTATCATTTATGACTAAATTTGGCGGTGAAGATTTATGAATATGTTGTGTACTATCTTAGTTTTTTAAAACTAAATAAGTAAATAAAAACCAGCCACGCCGACCAAAGTCGCTCGCATGTCGAAAGGTACACGTGGGACCAACCAACTTCTACTTTGACGCGCCTTCGACTTGTCTTAAAGGTCGTTTCTTCTTACCGTGAACACATGATCTTTTTTGGTTTTTTGTTCCAGCATTTTCTTCAGTTTTTTTTCATTATTTTTCATCGCGTTTTTTTCTAAAACCAAAATCACCCACAACTTCGTGTGATTCTCTATTTCAATCCCCTTTTTCGTAAAAAATACTACAATAAATGAAAACAAATTACCAAAAAAAAAAAAATTACCAAATTTTCATATGCTAAAAATCCAATGAAAATCTTTCTACAGTCTATTTAAATGAATTACATATTTCCCTTAGAATTCAAATATGCAATATCTAAGTTCTCACAAGTGAACGTGGAGGAAGAAAAGTATTCTTACTACAAGTGAAATGAAATGTTATTAAACCTAAAAATATCATCTTCTTATGAACGTGAAATTTGGCGGGAAGTCAACCGATTTTCCGCACGAACCGGAATTATCAACGGCTGTTTGTTATTACGTGAATCCCGTATCCTAACGGCGTTGATTATTTTTCCTTTAACGTCGTTAAATTTAGCGTTGTTGGTTGACAAACGCGCGTAAACAAAATCTACAACTCTCACATGCCACGTATGATCTCTCCGACATACCAACTAGCTTAAAGTGTGCCCTTGCTCCTTTGTACGGCCAAACCATTGTAATATTATTACCCATCTTTAAAAAAAAAAAAAAAAGATTATAACATTCTCCAATTTCAATATATGGTATAGTGATTATTCGATATCTAAGCCTTTTTTTTACAACATATCTGCATTATGGCCGAACCATTGTAATATTTTTTCTTTCTTTTTCGATAACCATTGTAATATTTATCTTCTTCTTTTAAATTATTGAGAAAATAAACAAAAAGGGAAAGTGGGTAAAAATACAGATGGGAGAAAAGGAGACAAGAACGGCAAGTCTACTAAGAAAAGATTTGTTTTCTTTTTTTTTGGGAGAAAATTCTAATGGTTTAGATTTTTTTTTTTTTTTTTTCTATGGGAGCCCCCAGAGAGGATTCCAAAACAGGAACAGGTCAGCGTCTGTTTTAAATTCTTTCAAGAGCCGGTCCTCCTAACGCCTCGTTGATATTTTAATATTACCATTTATTTCTTATCCTATTAAATTCTAAAGACAGACTTGGAAGTAACTCTGCCCCAGAAGAAATATAGAGAGAGAGAAAGAGAGAGACAGAGCGGTTTCAGACAGAGAGACTCTGTAGAAACACATGAATTGTTTTGGTTTCGTTTTTGTATGATAGCTTTCTCTTAACATCTGAAGAAGAAGAAGAAGAAAGATAAAAATAGGTGTTTCGTGAAAAAAATAGTTTTGAAGGATCTATTCTCTGAAACAAGGAGCAGAACAAAGGATGGAGTTATCTGATTGCTCTAACGAATATGAGAAGCTTGTTGTACGGATGAACATGCCCAGGTTTTTCTTTTATTCTCTTACTATTATTCTTTTTCCTATAAAAAAATCACAACTTGTTATTCTTGTATGTAGAAAATTAGCAATTTTATGAAGAAAATAACAAGATCTTGTTCGCAGATATCAATTTTTTTCTGGTTTTAGTTTTTAGTATCAACTTTTTACCCTCTTGTAATCGTACAAAAAAGATTTCTCTGTTACAGAAATTATGTTCGTATTCATGGAATTCAATTCAATTTTACGTTTTTCTATTTAATTAATCCAATTTCAGGGGATTAAAATTAATTATCATATGATGTGTTTGCTGAAACAAATAACGTTTTTGATGAATTTGATGGAAAATGGGTGCTCCAATTTGTATGGAAGTCATTGTCCCTGGCTTTACCGTCATCTATTAGTATAATAAACTGTAAAATTCACAAGTCAAATTATTGGCATTTTTAAAATTCTTTATTATTTTAATGTTTTGGTTGTTTGATTTTGATTCATACAAAAGAGTGAGGCTAAAGAGTCACTGTCTTTTTGGTCACTTGCAGGGTCGTGATTGACAATGGAGTTTGCCCTAATTCAACTGTCGTCAAGGTTTTTACCCTCACGCAACCTTCCTCTGTTTCTCCTCTTCTCTTTCCTTCAATTTCTATGACAATGATTTTTAATTAATTATTTTTTTTAAAAGATCGATAGCGCAAGAAGTCCAGGGATATTGCTCGAATCTGTACAGCTTCTGACCGATATGAATCTCTGGATTAGGAAAGCTTATATTTCCTCTGACGGAAAATGGAATATGGATGGTAATTATCCTTATTTTCTTACGCTAATTATACTGACTAAGTATACTAATTTAACTAAGTAAATAATCAGTTGATTCGTTATTTCTCCGCTTCTTCAGTTTTCCATGTAAGCGATCTTAACGGAAACAAATTAACCGACGAGAACCTAATCCGTTACATTGAAAAGGTAAACTTAATTACCACTAATCACACTTAACTACGCAATTAATCTTGTGAATGTTACTCGAAAACTCTAAAGACACTCTTTTTTTCTTCTGTCGCAGTCGATTGAGACGTCTCATTACAGTAAAACCGAAGGGTACACCGGTTTAACCGCTCTGGAGTTAACCGGAACAGACAGAGTCGGTTTACTCTCAGAGGTTTTCGCGGTTCTAGCTGATCTTCACTGTGATGTTGTCGAAGCTAAAGCATGGACGCATAACGGAAGGATTGCTTCGATGATTTATGTCAAAGACGGTAACTCCGGGACTCCGATCGACGGAGATTCTGGCAGGGTCCAACGGATAGAAGGGCAGTTACGTAATTTACTAAAAGCAGACGATGGTTATCAAAACGACACGAGGACATGCGTTTCGTATGGTGGAAACACTCACATGGAGAGAAGGTTGCATCAGAGAATGTTCATGGACCGTGACTACGAGAAGAAGTTTGATTTAGAGAAATCTCCGATCGTTTCGGTTCAAAATCTTCCGAAACGTGGTTACTCTGTTGTGAATTTGCAGTGTAAAGATCGTTTGAAGCTTTTGTTCGATGTGGTTTGCACGTTGACTGATATGGCTTACATTGTGTTCCACGCCGCGATTCGAACGGTTGGAGAAACGGCGTTTTTGGAATTCTATGTAAGACATAGTGATGGAAACCCGGTTAGTTCAGAACCGGAGAGACAACGTTTGATCCAATGTTTACAAGCTGCAATTGAAAGGAGGACGATTAAGGTATGAAAACTATGAATACATTTCTCCACCGGTTAATTGGAACTCTAAACCGATTGGTTAAGTAGCTGAATTTTACTCAATTTTGCAGGGTGTGAAATTGGAGCTATGTACTGCGGATAGACCGGGATTGTTAGCCGAAGTAACCCGGGTATTGAGGGAGAACGGTTTAAACATTGCTAGAGCCGAGATATCGACTAAAGACAGTATAGCGAGGAATGTGTTCTATGTGACAGATGCAAATGGTAACCTAATAGATCCTGAGATTATCAAATCGGTAAGAGAGAAGATTGGAATCGATGATCTAAGTGTTAAAGAACCGTTTCCGATTAGTTGCCGAGAAGCAGCTGAGAAAGAACAACAACAAGATCACCAAGGACGCAATGGAGGTGGGACAGTGTTGGTGTCACTTGGGAGTCTAGTGATGAGAAATCTATACCAGTTGGGTTTGATCAAAACACATTACTAGGAAATTAAACCGGGTACTAACCGATCCATATATACCAATTCAATCGTGTTTGTTAATAAACTCACGCGTTTGAATTGGTGTATGTGGAGCAGGTAGTGAACCAGTAAATTCATTTGGTTTGGGGTGTGGGACAAATTGGGTATTATTATTTGTACATAAAGAAGGTGGAAAGTTTGTTAAGAAATTGGTGGTCGGTCTTCTTCTTGGACCAATAGCTAGTAGAAGGATGTTAGGTAGATCTTGGTATGTTAGATTTTTTTCTTTTATCTGTATATATTTTATTATATAACCTATGGTTGTTAGAACATTAGCTTGACAATAGTAAAGTCAGTGTGTTATGTAAATAATTATTTAGTTATGGACTTATGGGTTAGGGGTTTTACGCAAGTAGACAAGCAGGTCCTACATGTGTGAATCTTATTAATATTTTGTTTTGTTTTATGAATCTCGTTCTCATGTTATCTTAGCATGCTTATAAAAGACAACTATATATCTTCAAGATGAAGATTTACATGTGACCAAGAAAAAGTTTTTTTATAAGAAATATTATGGTTAATTTAAGACTATTGGCAATGGACATGCGTCTCTATGACGTAGAATCCACGTCTTATTATGACAACTACAATGATACATAAACCCTAGCTCCATTGGGTATGGACTTATGGATAAGATAAAATCTTACTTCCATTCTACCAAAAACCATCGTTGTGATATATATATTTTCATACGGATCGGATTGACAAATTTGTTTCTATTAAATATATACTATTAATTAAATGATTGTAATTTTAAATTTATTGGCTTTGTATCAAGATAAAAGTAGGAATTTAGTTTTAGAAGTTACATAGAAATATAAAACGAATATTAAAAAAAAAAATTAAACGGAGGGAGTAAAATAATCAAGAAAAAACTTTAAAGTTAGTTGATGTTTTAGGCATAAATGAAAATTTTCATTGTTGGTATGATTAATACTATTATCTGTGGAAAGAAGGTAGCATAATTGAGAGAATTGAAGGAAGTCAAACAAACATTTGAAAAGTGAAGAAATTGTAACACATGCTCTGCATTTGTGATGTACTGCTGTGTACAGTTCCTTTATAAACTAATTTAGAAAATATAATCCAATAAGTAGTCAAGAGAATCTAATAAGAATCTAACTTTACTGTGGGCGTTAAATGCAATGTTGCAAACAGCTAAGTATTATCAACAAATAAAACCGAAACACGTGACTTCTGAATCTAAAATTTCCACCAACCCGGTTCTTCTGAGATGGCCGTCGGTTAAAGTCGGGTTCGCATTTTAACTCCACCAACTTTCTTTTTTATCTTTGTAGATACACTATTATTGAGGCTAGGCTACTCAGGCTAGAGCACTAACAAATTCTAGTGGTAAGAAAATGATATAAGGACTCTTTTTATATTCCTTTTGAGTATTTTTGAACTTTCAGTATTTTCAAAAAACTAAACAAAAATATCCCTTTTGTATATTAGACCATTTATGTACGCATTTTATAGGATCCGTTTTGAAATAAAAATATGATTTATAAACCAAAGGACTTTAATTTCTCTTGCTTTAAATATTTTAATAACTATGCGTGTAAGAGCATCTCCAACCATAAACCTTATGGGAGGGGTTCATAGCTTTTTTTTTAATATTACTAGTGTGTGACCTGCGCTACGCGCAAGCGTTTATCATTTTCTATTATATTATACACGTGTTTTTTCCTGTTTTTATAGTTTTATATCTGGGGACTTATGTCTCTTATAGAAGGTGTTATTCAGGAGTTTTTTTTTAATAATTTTTTGGTTTATATTATGGAAGTGCTATGTTTATTCTTATTAATTTATTTTTGTTTCTAAAGTATTTGTTTCTTTGTTTTTTTAATTTGTAATTGTGAAAACACTTTCTCCGTTAGTATATTTTGTATAAGGCCTTGAGTCAGTGGAAGTACAATATGTATATATTGAAATCGAGTTTGGATGGTTAGTGTGAAAGTTTTTTTTTTAGTCTGTAATTTTTTGTATTATTTTATAGTGGCTTATTTTTCTGCTATATTTCTTTGTTCGTTCGATGTTTATGAAATTCCATTTTGATTATACAAAGCCGTGTCCGTTTTTAGCCCTTCATAATTGTAGGTATTAATCGATAGCTCTTTCAAATGTTGGCAAAACCCTTCTATTGTTGGAATTTTGGTTTAATGATAGAGGGTGCTTCCATTGAAAGAGGGTGATTGAAATTTTGGTCGGACCAACCTTTTGTTCATACCCATTCCTTTGGTGTCATTTTTTTCATCCTCCTTCTCTTTCTTCCTTGGGTGATTCAGTGACGTTTAATTTCGGTATCCTCCACTCTTGCGGTGTTTTTTTCCAGAATCGGTGCCGGTCTAACCCCTCCCCATGATTTCTTAGATATACCTCTATTTGTCATCATATTGGGGAGCTGATCGGTTTCTCAGCTTTGGAATTGGTTTTTTGGGTGTGCCATTGGTGACTCCAATTTGGCGTGGATTTCATGGATCATTTTTGGGATTGGTATAAAATCCAGCGTTTATGGTTAAGCTGAGCTGAGTTGAGTTTTTTTTTTTGGAAAATATCACTTTCGTCAAAAAATCTATTTATGCAATTTCCTTTTGATGGTGATTCCGTGATTGTTGTCATTCATATGATTTTGTTTAATTTCAGTTTATGGTAGTGTGATATTTGATTTATTTAAAGTGTCTCATTTGCCGTAATTAGAGAAACCAGACAAAACAAAAGTTTAAAAAAATGATAATTGTACAGGTGGCTGCTGAGGTGGCAGCACCAGAAGAGAGAAAAGCTATCTTTATATATATATATTTGGGTTTTTTTTCACAGTAATGACACTCATCCTAAAATGCAGTTCCAATAATGAACTTGTTGATGGAGATCTACGAATAAAACACTCATCCTAAAACAGAAAACGAACAGAATACAATACCTGGTTTGAAGAAAACAGAGAGACCGAAATTAAAGAGTACTCTTCAAGCAATGCTACATTGCAACAATGTCCAAGAATCCAAAACTAGACCCAGAAAAATGACAGTACATGAGAGCCTAAACTAAGATGACTCTAAATTCTGTAACCCCGAGCCATTTCAATTGTGGAAGAAATCAAGAGACGAACCTGAACAACTTCCATGATGGTCTTAGTGACAGAAGCAGCAGCTCTCTCGGTGTAATGACCTCTGGCAACAATCCTATCAAACAACTCACCTCCTTCACAAAGCTCCATAACGAGATACACGACATGCTCATCCTCGTAAGTCTCCTTCAAGGTGACGACATTGGGATGCACAGGCATGTGCCTCATGATCTCAACTCCTCTCCTAAGTCCTAACATCCTCTATATCCACAGCCATCCTCAGCTTCTCCTTGTTCCTACACGTTTTCATTTGCTCAAAGATTATGCTCTGAATTAAAGCATTCCAAATTCTTCTTCTTTCTACTATGTACCTGAGGTAAGCACCATAGATTCTCAGAACATGTTTGAGACTTTTGGGAATATCCTCTGCATTAGGATATACGCAGCGTTTTCTTCCTCTCCTTCTTTCTGCAATCTCAGAAGATTTTATTTAACAGAGGATTTTATTTAGAATCCGTAATCAGCACAAACCCAGCTCGAATCATCGGACCCCAATAACTAACAGATTCAGATGAATCAATCTCATGACGAATCAAACTCATGATCATAGGCTAAAACCTAGAAACGATTCGTCACAAAGAAATCCCAGATTAACGAAACCCTAATTTCATCCCATGAACTCGACAAAGCTATAATATCAACTAAAACGAAAGATATGCTTACATTTCTTAATTGGTCGGCGAAAATAATCTCCTTCACTGGCGTCGACGATTTCGTTTGAGAGGGAAATGAAATTTAGCCGACCAAATGTTTTCGATTGAAAGAGAAACCCAAAAAAAAAAATTCTTGGCCAACGACCTCTCATATGCCAACACCTGTCCAGTCATACTCCACTCATACGGGTTCAGCAGGATGACTCTAGTGATACCATATTACTGAGAATTAGGACTGGAACGGAGCCGGATATCTGGACTTTTCAAAGTATCCGGATCCGGCTCCGGATTTGACGGATAATCAATTTTATTATCCGGATCCGGATCCGAAAACTCCGGATATCCGGAGACCGAATATCCGGTTTGAACCGAATATTTACGGATATCCGACCGGATATCCGGTTTCGTTGTTTAAAAAAAAGTCTTCAATTTTTAAAATTATAATGACATAACATATATAATTAAAATGTATCATCATAGCAAAAATTACAAATACCAAAAATTTAAAAGCATTCAAGTAGCATTCAAATAACACAAAGTTTAAAAGTTTACATAACAAATGAGAAAATAGTAATAAAGAAGTTAATTTATCTGTATATCTTTGTGTTATCTATTTTTCATGTTCTTCTCTCACAATTTGAAATAGAAAATTATCATGCAATATAAATTTCAATCATGTGTAAAAGAGTTAAACCAAAAACAATTTTCGAACATAATTAAAACAAAAAATTAAATGCATATCCAAAGATTTCAAAATTTTCAAAATCTTAATAAACGGATAACGGATATCTGATTTAAAAATTTTCTATTATCCGGATCCGTATCCGAAATAACTGAATACTTAATTTCACTATCCGGATCTGGATCCGAACTACACGAATATCCGGTTTTTACGGATTGGATAGGACCGGATACAGGATCGGATAACGGATACCGGATAATAATTCCAGCCCTACTGAGAATAAACCATTTTTGCAATTTTAAATCTTAAAGAAAAAGTTTGGGCCCCCTTGTGATCCTCTTGTTATTCTGTGTTAGAGATGGCCTAAATAGAGTAAATAAGATCATGGAAGTAAATTAATTTTAAATGGATATTTTATATTTATGATTTGTAAATGGATATTTATATTATTTTATACATGACCAATGTAGTCTAGTGACTTGCATGTAGTCTAGTGAGTTGCATTCACTCTTTAATGTATTAATAATATCAGAATTCAATCCCGTATAATTATATCACATGATGTTGTTGAACTAAGAAGTGTTTTATGGATTATATTTTCTTGATAAATTATTATAATAAAATACTTTTATATTTGTAAATGTAAAACAAATATACATTTAATCCCAAGCTGGGCTGTGATGTAAGATATCTGTTGGGCTTATTCGGCCTAAATTAATTACATTAGGTTTCCATTAGTTCATGGTGTTGACGCTTTTATGTGCATCGTATACATTTTTTGTCTGCCATATAATTCAATTTTTCTTTTGACGACATATAGTTGATATTTAGCAAAAAATTTGAATCACGACAAAAAACAGCAAAAGGTTGAATCATATTGATTTTGAGAACCCAATCAATTTAGTATTATTAAACTTTATATCTCTGTATAAAGATAAATACAAAACCTATAAAAATCTAATAAAAGTTTTAAAGGGAAATTAAACTTCTGCAACTGTGGAAGTGACACAAAATCTTGTAAGTGTTTTTAACATAATTTTAATAGCACGCCGATGATTTCATTTAATTATAATTGACCACCTGTATTCACATGGTTTTACATATTGCCATTTGCCATTACGTTAGGATAACATTTTTTAAGTAACATGTAATATTAAAATATCTTAATATTTATTTTAAACATTTGTCACAGTATCTTAATTTTGATGGCTTGTACTAGTCTTGGGCATACGGTTTATTGGTTCAATCTGGTTCGGGTTGTTCGGAAGTCGGTTTATTCAGGTTGAAAAAAAATGTCGCCAAAGTTTTATTTTTGTTCGATTTGGATTTGGATGTCAGTTTGTTCTCTCCCTATTTCATCCTTTATCAAAAGATTTTATATGTTATAGAATGAAAAAGGGACCATTATGGATTTCTTAACAAATATATAACTATGGACGAAACGCACATATCGGAATATAAAAGTAAGAAAAGAAACGTATTCTAATAGCTCAAATTATAATATCAAATGTTACCACTACTAAATAGCTGGTTCCTAAACTTTATTTTCTTAATTAATTTTCTTGTTTGATTTTGGCAGATTATGTGTTAATCGTTGAGGGTCAATGCTTTGTGGTCCCGATTTATATTATATCCGCCCTTAAATAATAAAATGCAAATATATACTTATGATTCACGATTACTTTCATTTTTTAAATTATTTAAACAAAAAAGTAGACCAAACCTTGGAAAAATATTTATTCCTACATATTATACTGCTATATGTATGTTTAGATTAGCACACAAAGTGATAAGCTATTATTGTTGACCAAGAAAATGGTACAATATATATATCTTTTGCAAAAAATTGCTTATAATTCAATATATCATTAATTAGTTTGGTAGATATCACTATGAGTTAAACCTGTGAAAATATTAAAAGGAAAGACAAAGAAAATAAACTATTATTGCTGACAAAGAAAATTGTATTTATACACGTCTTTTCTCAAAAACAAATTGCTTGTAATTCAAGGTGACACTGATTACTTTGGTAGATATCATTTTGAGTTAAACCTGTGAAAAAAAAAAAAAGCGAAAGGCGATAAAAAAAGAAAGAAATATAACTAGTACTATTGATGTATAAGAAGAATAAGACCCTCCAATGCCTCCATTACCCATAAACACAAGAACACACAAAATATTAGTTGATTCGAACAACGTTTTTGTTTTTATTTTATTTATTGGCACAGTGGTCCGAGTCAAGCTCGACGGAGATGAACAAATTCGTTCGCAATTCAGGTTAAAGAACATTAGGAAAGGAATCGAATCCGAAACTTTAACGAATTTATGTCCTCAGCCCGAAATCTTCAATCCTTGCGTCCTAACACGCGGGCTAATACGAGCAACGTTAACAAACAATATTGTGTTTAGCCACTTTATATACGTATATGATATATTTATTCAAACAATTATATAATATATCCCACGGTCTTAAACAGACGGTCGAAGTTGGTTTAGCACCATGCAAAAATAATCGAAGACTAGTTTTTGAACTTTTTAATGTATTTTTTTTTATAATTAGCTGTGCCTAAAATTTGACGAGCTTATGTTCATTCTTTATTTTAGCGAATAGCATAATGGATTTGACTTACTATTCGTTTTCATATGTTTTCTGTAATTTTGAACAGTATATTATTTCAACTATAAATTTAATCCAATATAAACTATATATTCAATTCTGTTTACCTATTCCTTTTTACGTTTACGTCAATACAAATTATCATGTTGATAATATCTAGCTATGTAGGAATATAGGTTGATAGTTGATACGTATATATATTATATAAATCTCAAGAGAAAGATTTCAAATTCGTTTGGTGTGATTTTTGAGACGTCCCGTTCACTTTGATATTTCAATAATTTATAAAATTTACCTCTTATCAAGTTATCATGTAAGATTCCATACTATCAGTTGTTCCAAAAAAAAAAAAGATTCCATACTATATCCGTCAAAAGTTTTTTTGTTAATAAAAACAATAAGAGCGAGATCGTGCACTATTCAGTTTTAGTGTGTCCTTCAAATGATGATTGCCACATTTTCAGTTTAACCGGCACGGCCATGTTAATACAGCTTGTTTCTGTTTCGAGCTACAATGGCAGCATTATTAAATGCTGTTTAGTTTCAAATAACCTAAAACATATTATGAGCTATTAAGCTTCATTGGGAAGAGAGATAAAAAAAAAGATATATGATTCTTGTACTAACAGCAACATGAATCTCTTTCCTTTTCCCTTTTTTTGTATGAATTTATTCGATAAAATCCCAAATTCAATACGAGATTATGTAATCTAGAACTAGAAGTCACTCCATGGCATAGTTTCACTTCGTCAAATAATAATCATCAATCTAACAACAAAGACACTCTAAGAAATTTCAAAACCGTTTTAACTTAATTTATAATTGACAAAAATACACTTCATAAACTAAACAACTCTAATATATAAATCTTTAGCATATATTACACTGCAAAATAAAAGAATATGGACGAACCGCTTGGAGCGTCCGAACAAGAAAAATGAAATAACGATAACTACTCATTACTCAATGTTGAATCTGTTTAAGAGTCGTGAGAGTTACTAAATCAAAGTACCATGTGTGATTGGAACTTTTTAGCTTGAGGACGTTTAGAAATAATTTGTTAGTTAGCATAGAAAAAAAAAAGTAAATCACTTTAAAAACTTAAAAGACAATATTTACATGATTTGTGTCCTCCAATATTGACGTTATTTTGTTGTTGCTAAATTCAATTTCTATACTTCAAAACAACAGTGATAAAAACACGGCAAGAGAAAGAAAAAGAAAAAACAACTCTTATCTGCAGGCCACCTTTGTCTTTTAAAAATTAATTTAAAACATCAGAAATTAGTATCACCCACTTTCAGTTTTTCTACTTACTATTTATTATATATAAATCTCTCTTTTTAATTTATTAATTTTATCCCATCGGATTCCAGCTAAAAAACACGAATTTCTATATACTAAATAAATATTATTTTCTCGAAATTAAAATATAAATTTATTGTGAGTTGTATCATAACGCTCTATTTCCTTTTCACGAATTTTTTTTTCCTTTTCGTATTACTTAATTTATTCAGTATTCAATTAAAAACAAACAGACAAGGAAAAAGTTAGGAAGGAAATGAACTGAAAGCCTGAAACAAAATATTAAATTATAAAGGAAACGCCTTTTTTTAATCTTGAATTCTTGATATTTCCATATTCAAAATCAAAATATATTCATTTTCTTTATTTCATCTAAACCCACAACAGCATAAATATATCTAATTTTCCTCACTTTCCTCTCAAACATTTCCTAATTTCATCCTAAAATAATTTCAAGTCTGTAATTCATAGAAATAATATTTTCTACATAAGAAATTTTTTTCTCATGTATTTCTTGAATGATTTCCTTCTTCTGTGATATTAATCTGATTTTCGACTTACTTTCCATTTTTCTTTTAACAAATAATATTCTTGTTCTTATTTTGGTCTTTTGCTCCTTTAATTTCTTGAAAGGTTTAAGCTTTGGATTCGGGAAATTAAATCTTCCTCTATCCCAAAAATCTTTATAAAGTTTTTCAAAAACAAGAAAAAAAAATCGACTAACATATGGAGTCTACCGGAGAAGTTGTCAGAACAACCGGCGAGAGCGACGGTGGCGTTACGCCGGTGAGATCTAACGCGCCGTTAGATTTCCACATGGCTCCAAGGTCAGAAACTTCAAATCCACCTCCGACCTCCGTCGCTCCACCGCCGCAAAGGTCCTTTTTACACACGGTGAATCCTCCGCCGCCAGCGATTGAAGGTTTTTCCACCGTGCCGATGAAGAAGAAGCGTGGACGCCCTAGGAAGTACGGACACGACGGAGCAGCGGCGGCGCTATCGCCGAATCCGATATCATCAGCCGCACCAACGACTTCTCACGTCATCGATTTCTCGGCATCTGGGAAACGTGGCAAGGTGAAACCAGCAGCAACTGCAACAACAAGCTCCTTCATCAAGACCAAGTACCAAGTCGAGACTTTAGGTAAAATCATTTTCTTGGAAAAAAATAAGTTAATATCTTTTTGTCTGATAAAATCTTGTTTCAAAGACTGAATCTGAATATCTCGTGACTTCAAAGTTTACAAAAAGAGATTTTTTGGGATCTTTCTGGGTCTTAAGCTGAAACATGCAAAGAAAAGAAAAAGCTTCTATTTTTCAAGTGGGACCTTTTCCAGCTTAATACATCTTTTTGTCCGTATATACGGGGATGTAATGTTTTATACCGTATCTTATACGTATATTACATGTATTTTTTTGCTGTTGTGCTTATTGAAGGTGAATGGGGTCATTCCTCTGCCGGCGCTAATTTCACGCCGCATATAATTACGGTGAACGCAGGCGAGGTCAGGAAAATATTTGATTATATATATATATATATATTTTGTTTTTAAAAAGTTGAATGTTTATAAAATGGAGTAATTGTAATTGATGATATGATTTTGGTGGGGGAAATTTGGGTTAATATTAGGACGTAACGAAGAAGATAATATCGTTTTCGCAACAAGGGTCCCTTGCTATTTGCGTTCTCTGCGCAAACGGTGTCGTTTCTAGTGTTACACTTCGACAGCCTGAATCATGTGGCGGTACATTGACTTATGAGGTATACTTTCACTCTCAATCTCTGTTGAGGATAACTGAAATAGACTGTTAAGAAACAACCAAACCAAAGTTTACTAACTAACCGGTTGGTACCAAACCGAAATCAGATTGCATATCATTTTAGTTGATTCTTGACAAGTTGCTTTTGTGCTTTGAAGGGTCGGTTTGAGATATTGTCACTATCCGGATCATTCATGCCAAGTGACTCGGATGGGACACGGAGCAGAACAGGTGGAATGACTGTGTCGTTGGCTAGTCCTGATGGACGTGTAGTAGGCGGTGGAGTCGCTGGCTTGCTGGTTGCAGCCACTCCTATTCAGGTGGTCGTTGGAAGTTTCTTAGCTGGGACGAATCAGCAAGATCAGAAGCAGAACCACAACAACTTTATGTCTTCTCCAATGCCAACCTCTTCAAATGCATCTGATCATGGAACCATCCGTCCCATGTCGTCTTCTCTCCACATCGGAACATGGACACCGCCTTTAGCTTCTGATCCACGACACAAGCTCTCTCATGACATCAACATCCCCTTAACTTGATTTCTTCCTTAAAAGAACTCGTAGGTCTTTTGTGTTTCGGTTTCTAGTTCTACATGCCAAGACTCTCAAGGTTTAGGTTTTATGTTGTTGGCTTGTAACTTAAAAGATTGTTTTTCTTAACTTTTTTCATCCGGGTTCTTCCACTCTTGGATGTAGAAATTGAATCTTGTTCCCTTATCTCTTGACCAGCACGTTCTGGTTTACCCAAACCAGGGACAATCTCTTTCACACCCATGTTAATTGATGATTCTAAACCCAAATACACAAAAATGATTTGAAAAGTTTGTCTATCTCTTTCACACCGGAAATCTATATCCATAGGCATGGCCCTGCTTAGATCCAGCTACACCCAAGTGTCTTACGCAGTTTCTTCTCTTCCATCGTCGCTCTTACCTTCCTTGCATCGTCCCATCTACCAACAGAAGTATAGATATTAGCAAGATACGAAAGATAACCAGAAGGATCAGTCTCCAGTTCAACGCAGTGGCTGCACGCAATCTCCCCAAACTCAACGTTGTTGTGTAACCCACTGGCTAAAAGCAAGGCTCCCCAAACTCCAGCGTTTGGCTGCATCGGCATACTCTTGATCAGCTCATATGCTTCCTTTAGCCTCCCGGCTCGTCCCAACATATCCACCATTATCCCATAATGATCAGCTGAAGGTTCCAGGTTGTAGTCTTTCATGGAGTTGAAACATTTGTAGCCTTCTTGAACCGAACCCGAATGGCTATACGCTGATAATAGCCCTGTGAATGTTACTTGATTTGGAGGAATCTTCTTTTCGATCATCTCTCTAAACAAGCTGTTTGCTTCTGTAGCCATGCCGTTTATCCCGCATCCCATGATCATAGCTGAGTAAGAAACTGTATCCTTTTTGTTTAGATCGTTGAACAATTTGAATGCCTTGTCAAAGTCTCCGGCTTTCATGTAAAGATCAATCAGAGAGGTACTTAAGAGATCATCGATTTGGATTCCATGTTCGGTTATATAAGACTCCACCCATGTACCAAAACTTGTATCACCAAGTTGTGAATTAGCTGCTACAACACTTGAGAGTGTGATCTCATCCGGTTGAATACATGTGTTGCTTTCAAGCATCTGAGAGAATAGCTTCAGAGCATCCTTTTGCTGGCCGTTTTGAGCATAACAAGCTATCATGGCATCATAAACGAGTTTGTCTTTCTTGGACATCTGTCTAAAAAGTTCCTCGGCAGACTGAACATCTCCCGATTTTGTGTACCCTGAAATCATTGTAATCCAGGAGACGTTATTCTTCTGGGGCATTGCATCGAAGTAGGTTCTTGCTAGTTTCATCTCCCTGCAATTCACATACCCGCCGATCAAAATATTCCAAGAAGCCGGGCTTTTCAAAGGCATCGCTAGAAACAAAGAGCATGCATTGCTCATGTCACCTTTTTTTGCATAGCTCGAGATGATTAGATTCCATGACACCACATCTTTCGCTGGAATCTTGTCAAAGACCCTGCGAGCTTCGTCTAGATTCCCACTTTCAAGATACCCGTGTAACAGCGAGTTCCACGAAACTGTGTTCTTCTCAGCAATATCATCAAAAGCCTTCTTTGCCATCTCAATGTAACCGAGTCTAGAATACAAACCCACCAGACCAGTCTGAACATAGACACAACCACATAATCCACTTTTAAGAGCCTGAGCATGAAACGAGGTACCATCAATCATATTCTCCATCTTACCACAAGCTCTCAACACTGAGGTCATGGCATGTGAACTCGGAGGGATTCCAGAGTTGTGCATTTCGATGTACAAACCAACCGTCTCTTGAAACTTCCTGTGCTGGCTCAAGAACCTGACAAGACATCCCCACGAGAAAGTATCCAGACTTTTGGAAGTTGTGGACACCTTGAGGATTCTTTTGACATAGTTCACCACATTTCTAGAGAAGTCCTTTGTGAAGTGAAGAGTTTGGTGGACTAAGATGGACTCAAGGTAGTCACGGCGGTTCACAACTAACTGTGCGTGGAGTTGCTTGGCCTGTCCAAGCGCTACACACTTGTGAAGGAAGAATCTTAGCCTAGAATCCAACATTACTCTAGAGAATCCTAACTCATTTCCGCCGAAGTCACATGTCACGAATCAACAGAACACCACAGGAGACAAAGAAACAATCACACTACACTTTTACAGCACCAAAAAAAACCATTCCTTTTTCAACATTTGAATGCTCCACTGGTGATTAAGGACTAAGCAGGGCCAGTTTCTAAAGGTTACCTAAGGTTCCGCTACCTAAACGCATCAGATGAAACTTTCGATTCCCAATCTAAAACTTATATCCCGAATAATCAAGGGACAGTCTTTACTTAATTCCGATCTAATGTGACATCGACACAAACCCTCAAAAAGGAATAAATAGTTGAAAACTTATGCTTTGAAACGAAATCAGGAGAGAAATTCGAGGAAAGACGGGATTAGGATAAGAGCGAGACAGAGTGAGCAAAAATGGCGATATCGACGACCACTTCTCTGCTATAAGAAAGAAAAGAACCAGTTTTTGATTTAAAATACGGAGAAGAAGATGATACTCTCAGAGACTCCGACTCGACTAGAAGGTTCGACTCTCATTTCCTTTTTTTTTTTTTTGTGTGTCACCAAATATTTTACTCGAGCTAGGTGGTAGTGGCAAGTGTACGTACGTTTTCGCTTTCTCTCGATCTTTGATACTAATAACCCTTTTATCTTTTTACCACTGTCACGATTTTATATATATACATACACTCGTATTTAATCATAGTCCATTTAAAGTTTGACCAATATTGCTATCCTAATCTCACAAGTATATAGGATAATAGGACGTAGAATCTAAAGATCTATAAACTATATATATATATATATATTGTACAATTTTATGTATAACAAACCCCCCTTACTGTATGAGAAAAGCACAAAATAAATATGACGTGCCACGCTCAAAAGTGTAATTTGGTTAATCTCAATGCGTACATACCAATATGTTCCATAACTTTCTCGTTCTCCTTAAGATTTTCCCAATAATCTGAGCAATGCACGATTCGATCAAATTTGACGATGGAATAAGGTTCGTTCTTACCGGAGTAATCCCGGAGAACGTAACTCCTGCTTCATTAACTGTCTTTCTCATGTAGAAGCTTCTACTTCCTATTTCTCCAATTATTTCTCGTTTTTCCAAACCTGAAAATTTCATCAAATTAAGTATATTTTATTTGTTAGCACTTCTTCAATTACGTGGAAAAAGAAGAAGGTAAATATCATTGGTTCAAGTAACCCTTTTCTTGACTATCAGTTATGGCTCATATGAATTACGTGATGTTTCTTTCTTTCACATGATCCAGGAGTATTTTTGAGTACCATTTCCATGACTGTTGGAGATTAAAGCAAAACTAGATACCTAGTATAGATATTTTATCTAACCTAATCAAACTACTACACATCAAACTGAAAACAATTGATTTGTTTTCTTTTCCACCAAAAAATTATTCCGTGAACACTTATTTTTTTTCTTTTTTCCCTATATCCAAAATGTTAAAAACTAAATTTTGGATAGAGTTATCTTTTTTTTTTTCTTTAGAATAAAATTAACTAATTAGCATTGGATAGAAGAGTGGTGTAACACAAATTGTGTATATATATCGCTTACATTGGATGCTGAAATGAGATTGATGCAATTCAAAGGCAGCACCTTGATCTAGTTTAGGTGTTCGTCCTTCTTCACAATATTTCTCAACGACGAGTTTGATCGTTTCTTCGACGTTACAACTCAATTTAACCATTGTTCTTACAGGTCCAGGGCTTCCTTCAACTGCTACATTAATCACTACTTTTGCTGCTTGCAGTTTATTACCCTGATTTTGTTTCCAATTAAGAATGAAAAAAAGAAAGAAAGAGAGATTCAATGATTTTGGAAACTTCTTGAACTGAAGAATTTACATCTTACTATAAATAGCAGAGGTAAGGGTTAAATTGTAACATTGTCAAAAGATTAGGCTTAAATTAGAAAATCTCAAACCTTAGTAAACTAAAATGTTTACAGAACTGAAATCATGAATTTGATAATTCAAAATAGTAAAAAATAGTAAAATAGAAATGAAAATTGGTGAGAGAAACAGAGTCTGATACCTCATGAGAGGACGGCGAAGATAAGCTCAACAACGATGGAGAAGAAGCGAAAACCTCAGAGCGAATCCTTGGCAAGCAGACGATATTCGGATCAGATTCTTCCGTCGGTAAACCGCTCATCGGCGATGGTCGCCGCAAGAAATTACTGTCTCCGTCGCGACGGCGATTGAGACTCGGCTCTGAGAAGCTTCTTTCGAAAACCCGATTGGTATATTTTGTTCGGTTCTTCTTGTCGGAAACTTGCTGTTTCGCCGCCGTCCATCTCGTCCTGGAGCTCCGACCACCACCGTTCCCGACCGGATTCGGAACTCTTCTCCGGTGAATGGAATCTGACATTTGGTGAAAGTGATGACTTTGCTTGAGGAGAAGGAAGAAGAAAGAAATTGAGAGGTTTTGCTGGTTTGCTTGGCAAAGAAGCGAATAAAGGGATTCTCTGCTTTACTCTTTTTTTGTGTCACATGTTTTTTTTTCCTCTCAAATATATATTTTTCTTACATATAAGTGACTTTTAGCATTTAAATCCAAGCCGACCAAAATAAAATACTCCCTCTGTTCATAATTATTTGATGTTTAAAATTTTTGCATACAGTTTAAGGATTCATTTAATTTTTATTTTTCCTATACTAAAAATATTATTTATAATCCATTTAAATATCATTCAGCCAATAAGAAGACAATCTGCAGAATATAAAATATCAAAAACTATAAAAATTCATTAAATTTTGCATTGAAAAGTGAGAACATCAAATAATTCTGAACAAAAAAAACCTTCTAAAACATCAAATAATTCTGAACAGAGGAAGTACATTTTATCATCCGAATAAAGGCATTGGTAATATAGACGTGGTTCTTATACTATGATATTTATTATTTTCCATGTCGACATTATAATATTATAGTATGATATCTTATCATGATTCTTACGTATTGTGTTATCTTAAGCAATATGGAAATACATAGATTGGTAGCATTGTATTTAAGAAAATTGTAGAAAAACTATTATTCAAAGATGGTACAATTATTTAGGATATTTAGCCCGCAACAATTAAAATGTAAAAATATGGAGGAAATTTTTAAGTCTTAGATAAAAGGCCATATACTATAAAAGAAAAAAAAATAATACCAGTTTCCTACTGCATCTTTTAGAAGATTGATTACTTGAGAGACTCATCTTTTTTCTACAATCCCTAAGTGTATAGAAAACAAAACTCTTGGTTTTGTAGAATTTTGACACGTTAATCAAGAAAACGAGAAACCCAAACAAATTTTCGTAAATCCAAACCCTAAAATCGAAGGTGATATATAACCAAATAGATAGAAAGGAGTAAACAGAAAAACATAAACAAATACAGAGAGACGAAGGTACTGATTAGTGGGAATTAAATAAATTCCTCAACGAAAATAAGATTCATTAATGTCAAGACATAAAATAGTAGAGAAACAGAAGTTCAGTAGTCGTGTCTTGTGTGGCTGAGATTGGTCCGACGTTTGTTTTCAACTTCTCACTGTCTAAAGAAATAACTTTGGGACGTGTTGTAAAGCTATTGTTAATAGTGTCGTCGACTCATAAGACCATCATTATTGGTGGTTTCTTCTGGGTTTCTTCTGATTTAATGAGCATCTTTTAATTGAATTAATGGGTTTAAACACAGGGATCGATCCTTATTTAGGGATTTCAAGAATCGATCCTAATAAATGACATGGCAGAATTTGATTGGTTCTTGTGTTTTGGAAAATTTTGGCTTGAAATTTTTTTTTTTTTTGTTCCAGACCATTTCTTCTTTATCGAAAATTTTTGCTGAAAATTTTTTCCCCCGAAAAAAACTTCTTTCTCGGCTCCCACAAGTCTTTGGTGGATGAAGAGTCTTTGGTGGAAGAAGAGATGAAGAAAAGGGCGGTGGTGTTGGAAGGTCTCCGACGACATCCTTCGTCTGGGGGTTTCAATGTGGCGGAGATTGGAATAGATATGGTGGTTTGGAAGGAACCAATAGAGCAGAGAGGAGGATTTGTCCTAGGATTGGATTGGCAAAGCTGCATCTCGAGTGTTATGTGGCGAATATGGTGAATCAGTTTGAATGGAAGGAGGTGGAAGGAGATGAAGTTGACTTGACAGAGAAGATGAACTTCGATCTCCACGATTTACTTTTTAGAATCCATTTAGAATCCATTTAGAGTTTACCGATAAACTATACAAATTATTGGATTTTTAATAAGTTTCTTAACCCAAAATTATTAATTAAAAATTGCTAAGAAACTCAATAACAGTTTCACCGATAATGATGCTCTAAGTCCCATACAGAGGCGCGTGTGCAGTTCCGTGCTTATAGTGTTAAGGGGCTAAGGCAAATGACAAGAATTTTTTTCTATTTTAATATAATTATTTCTAAGAAGAAATAAGTTGTAAATTAGATTTAAAAATTGTTTTAATAAAATATTAGAGATTACTAATACTATTTTCTTAATTTATGAAATAAATTTTCAACCACAAAAATAACACCAAAATATATATTGACCAATATACTAAATAAAATTACACAAAATTGGGGGCTCTAAAACTTGCTAATATTAAAGGTGTCTAAGATAAATGCGTTATTATTTGTTAATTAAGCACGGCCCTGCGCGTGTGGGTCACTTCTCTTACTCCATACGTACTCACGTTCACGCGTAACGCACAGAGACAGAGTAATATACAAAGTCTACGACAATCATTTTTATTACTTTTGAATTTATATATGTTATTTTATTTTCATGACGAAAATTGTAGACTTTAGAATTTCAAATGTAACGTCACGTTTAGTGATGTAATACCATTTGTATATTACTTTAATATTATGATTGGCTTATAGCCTCAATTTATTTCAACGTTTTGCTATGTATATATAATGTTCTACTATTGTCATGAAAATCATGGACACATGCCACGGAAGTCAAAATAGCCATGGGTGTAGCTAGGTTGAAGGTTCAAATCTATGAGATTTAGGTTCCAACAATGAAGTGTTCCCAATCCATCCTTTCTCACCTCAAGGAATTGGGCAGACTTAGATCTTCTTCAACCCTTTATCTGTTAATCATATTTTCTTTACTGTTTGGTTTCTTGTTAGACAAGGTAGCGAGTGTTTGAAACAAAGCAGTTTTTCCACTTATCATTATTATTATCTTATCTTTTTCTTTCATGGTTTTTGTTCTTTCCAGAAGACTTAAATCATTTGTAACATGCTTTGAAAGGATTTATTTATCATCTTCTTCTTGGTTTTCTATCCACCGCTATAGATGGAACCACCGCACCACACTCGCCAACCTTCTCTTGAAACTTCCTATGCTGGCTCAAAAACCTGATAATACATATTATAAGCAATTTATAAGCGTTGTCAAAAAAAAAAAGCAATTTATAAGCAAACTATCAGCAAAATATATAAGATAAAATTTAAAAATTATTATGTTCAGATACTTTTAAATAGTTGAATTATACCTAATACATATATTTTGACTTTTATAAATTTATTTTCTAGATCTAATATATATATTTTGACTCCGGTAAATTTAATTTTTAGGTCTGCCATTGAATGTGGACATGTGTAGACTAATAACACTGTTTTTAAGAAAACTGTAGAAGACCTATTGTATTCAAAGATGTACAATTATTTAGCTCGAAACAAATAAATTGTCAGAAATAGAAGAACATTTTAAATTATTGATATATGACTGAAAAAGTAAGTAATTTTTTAGTATTTTTCTTAACGATTTTCTTTTAGAGGTGTCTGCTTTTCTTTATGCATAGCGCTCAGAGTATTACAAGTTTATAACAACAATCCTTTGTGTTACATTTAAAAATATATTTTATTTTCATGACGAAAATCATAGACTTTAGAATTTCAAATGTCACGTTTCGTGATGTAATACCATTTGTAATTTTGTATTACTTTAATATGTATTTCAACGTTTTGCTATATATGTATAATGTTTCACTGTTGTCATAAAAATCAAAAACATATGCCACGAAAGTCAAATTAATAGCCAATGTCATATAGCCGTGAATTGCTGCCCCAAACATATTTGATTCCAAGGGGTTCTAGAATAAATAGAAGAAATTGTATGAACCCTTGAAAGAAATTAAAGAAAGAAATTCCAATAAAAACAAGACGAGGCTATGTGGTGTCCAGTTTTAGGCATGTTAATTTAACAAACTAATGAAATTATATATGTTTTTTTTTTTTGGTAAACATGTTAAAATTATATTACCAATTTTTACAGAAGTTACAGAGATTACAAAGAAATCAGAAAAACCGAAAATAAAAAACTACTAACAAATCCGACAAATGTAGCAAACAACAACGAAAGCATAAGAAAATGGATTATGGAATTAAAAATAAAACCGAAGCAAAACCAGACGGGAAAGCAGCAGTCGCACGCCAAAACGCAGACCACCCCGTAATTGCCACAGCTCCGAAGAACTAGAGTTCTCATCTTTGTTGCCACGAGCATCTTCCCGAGGCCAGCCCTCAAACCTCAAAAGAGAAACGCTTACAGCTTCTCCGAGAACTAACGGAATTTCCGGATTCCGTAACGGACTAACCTGCAACCGTTGACAAGGGAGCCCGCAAGGGCCATCGGAGAGTCACCTCGGACTACCATTCCCGAAAAAAACGAATTTCCTCGAGAATCAGCTCCCACATCTACAAACTAGCCGCAACAACAAACCGACACCTCAACAATCACGTCCAGTAATACTCCACCATCTACATCGGATCACATCCAGAGCCATCACAAACCAAGAACTATACACAAACGCAGAGCTATCGCATATAATCGGACACACACTTTCGAAAAATCTCAGGCCACACCAATGCCGTAGACGGCGGAGGAGCCAAAAGCTGAGACAAACCAGCGGGGCAACCACTGAGCCACCCGTGTTGAGCCACCGCTGAGAGACACCGAAATTATATATGTTGTTGAGTAGTAAGCTTAAACTATGTTTATATTGTACTTGTTGACAAAATTAAAGCGACATGTTTGAGAGACTAACAAATCGCTAATTTAAAATTAAAATGGCTAAAAAATTTCAACAGTTCACTACTCGCAAAAATCTCTCTTTAAAACCAACAGTTGGCGTAATGAACAAAATTTGGCTATCGATAATTATTAAGCAAACAATAAAACATATTGTTGATCGTTGGAACAAAACATCACATTTGGTGCCTGATCAATCACTTTTTTTGGGGCTAAAATAAATGGCTCATTATCAATGTGTGCTTGAATAAGCTGGTTTTAGATGGGCTTTAGTAAGGCCATTTTGTCTCTCCTATTTTTGAAGCCGAGAACAACTACCTTTTTCCAAGAGGAAAACTAATCTGACATATCCCAATTAATATTGCCTAGAAAAAATATTGAACGTACAAGCTAGAACTTCTAAAAATGTTCGAAACAATCTCCAGAACTATGTTGTATCCTGATTTCAATCTTGTACAAGTTGTTAACTAATGTAATAAGTTGACGACAAAAAAAAGTCTAGTATAAAAACTTACCGGTGATGTCCAAAAAGGAAAAAAAAAACGTTACTGGTAAACAGATGTTGGTAAAATGATTGAAAACGTCTGAATCAAAAAGCTTGGAGTGATATATTGGATTCAGACTGACATCCAATTTTAATAAGTTACGACCTAAATCGTTGCTCATGTTCTAGTGTAACTCATTTATGTATATAATTATACAATAACATGCATGTCATATATATGATAAATCAAGATTCCTCAATTACGAAATGGTAATATTAGTAGACGATGATCCAATAATAAATAAAAAATACGAAAATTCGTCTTAACGATACAAGAAGGGACGATGCACAAAAAGTAAAAATATTATTGGTTGTAAATTATTTGCCCTCTGAAAAAATTCCAGGGGCCACCATGAGAACAAATATATTGGATAGTGTCCATGTCAGTGCTGCAATGCATGCTTGTATGTCTTTTAACAATACTACTGTTTTTGTATTTTATGAAAATTGATGGAAGTAACTTTTTGATAGCACAGGAAATGTTGGGAGGCACAATCGGCTTTTGTGTAAGGAAGATTGATATCTAATAACACTTTGGTAGCACAATTTTTTCTTAGAGATGATTTAAGATATAAAACTCCATGCAAAATAGACTTGCATGGATCACCAAAGAAAGTAATTTTGGTTCTATCCGGTTCCACTGTATATAGTGTTACCTGTCAAGTGACATCACATTTGTTGGTGGACCGATGAAGCCACGTCATCAAAACAAATATTCGCCAAATCAGTATATATATATAAATATAACAGACCAAATAATCCAGCTAAACAACGACGACACTCTCCACTCTCTCTCTCTCTCTCAATCTCAATCTCACGTCAACGACCGTCGCCGTCACCGGAAAAACGAGTCTCGTCGTCTTGAACAATGATCCCTTACGCGACGGTTGAAGAGGCGTCAATGGCGTTAGGTCGAAACCTCACGAGGCTCGAGGTTGTGTGGTTCGATTACTCCGCCACAAAGTCCGATTACTACCTCTACTGCCACAACATTCTCTTCCTCTTCCTCATCTTCTCCCTCGTTCCTCTCCCTCTCGTCATCGTCGAATCCTTGCGATCTGCATCTGGCTGGTTCGATCGGTATAAGATTCAGCCCAAGGTGAAGAACTCGTTCTCCGATATGTTCCGGTGTTACAGAGACGTCATGAAGATGTTCCTTCTCGTCGTTGGCCCCTTGCAACTCGTTTCTTATCCTTCGATCCAGGTAATTTCCAGAGATTTGTATCTCAATCGATATAATCTAGAGAGTGTGTGTTCTTATGTTGGGTTTTGTAGCTACTGGGTTTCAAAATCGAAAAAGCAATTCGAATTGATCCGGCTCGAATGTCCTTCAATTCGAGTTTAATTTGGCAATGGCATTGCGAATTTGACGGAATATTGATGTATGTTTATAAGATTTGATAGTATATTTTGACTGAATCTGAGCCAATGAAGGCGATTCTGTGTGTGTGTTTAACAGATGATTGAGATTCGAAGTGGATTGCCATTACCATCTTGTTTGGAGATTGTAGCACAGTTAGTGGTTTACTTCTTGGTAGAGGATTACACAAACTACTGGATCCATAGGTTCTTCCATTGCAAATGGGGTTATGAGAAGATTCACCATATCCATCATGAGTACACTGCTCCTATAGGATATGCTGCTCCTTATGCACATTGGGCTGAGGTTTTGGTTCTTGGGATCCCGACGTTTCTTGGACCGGCGATTGCTCCTGGCCACATGATTACCTTTTGGTTGTGGATAGCTTTACGCCAAATTGAAGCCATTGAAACTCACAGCGGGTTAGTGAAGAATGAATAGAGAAAATCAAATAAAAAAAAACTCTCTTTTTATTTTCTTGCTTGCTTTTGGTTTTTCTATTCGTTTATGTATGCATCATATCAACTTTTGCATTGTTTTTAGCATAACTTTTTCATCTTTCCTTTGTTAGTACATATATGTAATTTATTATGATTGAGGGGGTAATAGTGTGGTTCACCTTTTTTGTTGTTGGTGGGGCTAAGGTAAGCACTAGCCTTTTCTGATACTTTTAGATCCTTTTAGCTTTTGAGGATCGTTTAGAGTCTGCTTAGGTAACCTTTTGGTGAGCATTCCCATTGGCTGAATATGAAAACGTCCTTCAAAATGATAAGCATCTCATCTTAGACCATCTAAAGCAAATTAAGTATTTCAAGAGTATGATGTTTTATTATGTTTTGCAGATATGATTTTCCATGGACTCTGACAAAATACATTCCGTTCTATGGTGGAGCTGAGTATCATGATTATCATCACTACGTTGGAGGACAAAGCCAGAGCAACTTCGCTTCAGTTTTCACTTACTGCGATTACATCTACGGAACTGACAAAGTGAGTATTGAATCTTCAGTTTCCTTTCTAGTTAGCGTCTAGTAATTCTTGATGAAATCATTGACAATGTGGTAATGTAAAATTTTCTTACTTTCCATCAGGGTTACCGATTTCAAAAGAAGCTTCTTCAGCAGGTAAAATAATATTCCCAAAACAGAGACTTGCATAAGTAGCTTATCTCTCTGCGTTGCCATCAAACGCAGCTATCAATTGCGAGTTCACATAACCATGTGGTCACATAAATATGAGTTTAATATCATATTTGATGATATGTTTCTTGATATTTTACTTGCACATACTCCACTAATTAATGCTGTATCTTATGAGTTGCAGATCAAGGAGGAGTCGAAGAAGAGCAACAAGCAGAATGGAGGAGAGAAATTCGATTAGTGCAACTACTCCTCACGAGGATTGAAGTTTCTATCAGGTGATAAAGCAGACGCAGCTTTACTTATCATAAGTCATAAGCAATCTACTAATCTCAAAAGTCAAGACTCACAAAAGAAAGTGTAGTTAGTCCTCCTCTTTTCTGATCTGTCTTGTTTCACATGGAAATGCTCCTTAACGACATTTTCGATCTGTGTGCGTCTTTCTCGATCTAAAAGGTTTTTTTTTCTGGTTTCGAACTCTTAGGGAAGGCATTATAATTCTGTATGGTAGATAAAAAAGATCAGAAAGAATCATGTTAAATCGTTGGTGAGTTTTTTTTTTTGTTCGTCTATCTTTTTAGTTTTGTTTAATTGTTTTTTTTTCATTAATGGAATTGTATTGTCAAGAGAATCCTTCATTTGGGTAAGCAACTTTGATCAGTAAAGATTGGTCAAGAAATGATACTATATTAACTTACACGGATTAGTAAACAACAAGCCCGTCTAGCTCAGTTGGTAGAGCGCAAGGCTCTTAACCTTGTGGTCGTGGGTTCGAGCCCCACGGTGGGCGTCTGTTTTATATTCTAAATTGTTTTCGTGGATAAATTAAAGAAATTTTTGTCAAGAATCATAGCCTATTTAATATGCATGCAGCATATTTCTATAGTAAATGACTTAAATCTTTGCATGAGTAATGACGACCAATTTAGCCTATTCTAAATTGTTTTCGGGGATAAATTAAAGAAATTTTTGTCAAGAATCATAGCCTATTTAATATGCATGCAGCATATTTCTATAGTAAATGACTTAAATCTTTGCGCCCGCATAGTTGCGTGGGTGTTATACCACTTCACCCAGATTCGATCCTCTCTGAAAACAAAATAACAGCATGCTTTAACTTAAAAAAGCAGATAAAAACACCGAAAAATCATTATTTCCTTACACCAAAGAAAAAAAAAATCATTTTTCTTCACGTCACGTGAACACACAATGAATCGTGAGAGTTGTAGAGATAGCCTAAAATTTTATTTCAGTTTAAGAAATTAACAAAATACTCCAAATCTAAACTCTTTAACTCTAAACCTAAAATCGCATCCTAAACTCTAAACACTAAAAACATTTACATGGTGCTGCTTATATCTCATATCTCGTTTTTTTGTTCTTTCAAAATTCCAATTTTGGCCATAATTGCACTGCAAGTCTGTAATGGTCTTTTTTCGGGAGTAATTGTGTGATAGAACGGGTCAAAAACAGTAACTGGAAGCATTGTCCATAGATAAAAAATATATATATGTTTAATTCAAATATCTACTGTCATTCAAGTTTTAATGAGAAAATCATCATAATATTAAGTGTGTCCACTCATTTTGTGTGTAAAAACGAGGTTGTCTATCCTAGACGTATCCGCTAATTTACAAAAAAAAAAAGGCGTTATTATTAAAAGAAATTGAAATCGTTTTAAACATGTGTATGAGAGTAAATAGTACATGTAGAGATAAGATACTACAAAAAAAAAAGGACGACATGACATGCTTTTTTGTGTGTTCTTCTAAAAACGTAAAGAAGAGGACTCAATTTGGCGGACTTGTCAAAGGGAAAAGGTAAGAAACAAAATGGGGAAATGGTAACAGAAAATCGCAGAAGTTAGGTGTCCAAATCCAAAACACTCGTTAAAGTTCCCTAATTAATATTACTTCGAAATCTGTACATTTTTATATAATATTTCCACCATCCTTATATATATACATCCTGAAATGCAATCAAGTCAAGTAATCAGTCAATTAACTTCAAAAGCATTGCTAGCCACAAAAACAACACACACAAATCCCACTATATGATCCCTTTCCCAACCATTGAAGATGCGTCCGTAGCGTTAGGAAGAAACCTGACTTGGTTCGAGACGGTTTGGTTCGAGTACTCAGCCACCAAATCGAATTTCTATGTATATTGCCATACCATTTTGTTACTGTTCCTCGTCTTTTCCCTCGCTCCTCTCCCTTTTGTGTTTGTGGAATTGACCGGTTGGTTCGACCGGTTCAAGATTCAGCCGAATGTGAAGTATTCGTTATCTGAAATGTTCCGATGTTATAAAGATGTCATGAAGCTGTTCTTTCTCGTGGTCGGCACTTTGCAACTCGTTACTTATCCTTCGATCCAGGTTTAGTTATTACATTTTTTTGTTTTTGTTTTTGGCTTTGGATTTATTACTATTTACCTATTTTAACTGTGAGTTTTGCAACATATATATCTTCTGAGAGCTAGTTTTAGAAAAGAAAAAAAAAGTTGCTGATTTTTTTGGGTCATTTAAATCAATTCCCCTTTTAATTAAATATTATTTGCATACTGTAAATTCAAACGCAAAAACTTGTAAATGTATCTCATGATATATTCGATGACCCAATTTGCAATACAACAGTCTATGGATACAGTAGTTGGTGAAATCTTCTATCAAGAAGTTAGTTGTGCTACTGTACATCACAAATTATTTATTTTTGTCATATTCTTGAAATGTACTTAAAGGAATAGTAGTATGTGATTATATGTGTTTTAATTGCAGATGGTTGGAATTCGAAGTGGATTGCCATTACCATCGTTAATGGAGATTGTAGCACAACTAGTGGTTTACTTCTTGATAGAAGATTACACAAACTACTGGATCCATAGATTGTTGCATTGCAAATGGGGTTATGAGAAGATACATCGGATCCATCACGAGTACACATCTCCGATCGGATATGCATCGCCGTATGCACATTGGGCCGAGATCTTGATTCTTGGGATTCCGACGTTTCTTGGACCGGCGGTTGCACCTGGCCACATTATGACCTTTTGGCTTTGGATAAGTTTACGTCAAATCGAGGCTATCGAGACTCACAGCGGGTAAAACAGCAAAAAAATCCAAATCATAATCCTGTTTAATTACCTTTTACATTACCTACTTATAAAGAAAGCATAATTAATTTTTTATCGTTACCATTTTGAAAAATAAATGCCTAACAGGAGAACGAGAAATTTTCGTTTTCGACTACGATTAAGTGGGCGTTTGATGTTAACAAAATATATTCTAGAACTAAATAAATGTAAAAGTGAACATAGGTTTTTACATTTGAAGTTAGGGTTGTTCAAAATAAAAATGTTATTATTTATTGTTTTTTTTTTTTGCAGATATGATTTTCCTTGGAGTCTGACAAAATGCATTCCATTTTATGGTGGAGCTGAGTATCATGACTATCACCACTACGTTGGAGGAAAAAGTCAGAGCAATTTCGCTTCAGTTTTCACGTACTGTGATTACATTTATGGAACTGACAAAGTGAGTGTTGATCAAATATCAATCAAATCAATTCTTGTTCTTTAATTTCAATTTAAACAGTGACCAATATTTTTATTTTTCTATCATTAGGGCTATCGGATCCATAAGAAGCTTCTTCATCAGAAGGTTAATATTCTCAAGTTCAGATTCATAATTTTAGCTTCTTATACAGCTTCACATCTTATCCATTGTTTACTTTTTTTATGAAATATATCTTATATGTGTAGATAAAAATGGAGGCTGAGGAGAAGGGAGGAACAAAATACGATTAGTAATAGATTCGGAGAGGGTTAAAAGTTTCAATCCAGTGATAAGATCGATTAAATAATTGTATATATATATATATAATATGATCCATATATATATGTTAAGTGGTTTGTATTGTGGTGTCAATAATTAATCTCCATGTTAAAAAGTATATGCGTGGTGATATTTTGTTTGATTGTTTATTATAAAAAAGTATATGCGACGCAAATCAGTACAAGAAAAACAATTTGTTATTCTTCTTAAATGCCCGGTTATATAAACTGACATTCACTTTACTAACTCCCGCAATGACAAGTCGGGAATGAATGGATGATAAAGGTTTGTAAACATAATTCATACATTTTATGAAAAACTATAAACAAAATGTATTAGCCTCAATAAGATTTCTCTCTAGTTTCTATCGTTCTACGAATTCATAGTTGTTCTTTCTTTTTTTTTTCGTAAAAAGAATTCATAGTTGTTCACCTGTGCTTATATACAACATTTATAATAAGCCAAACTTTCAGTGAGCCAAGTTTGTCCACTCGTTTTGTGTGTGTGTGTGTGATTGACAGACTGTGTCAACGAGCTTGTCTATTCTTTAGATCAAAGAACCAAAAGAGAGATCGTTGCGTAGATTTTCAAAAACAATTAAAAAACAGGTTTAGCTATTCAAAATCTTTTTTTTTAAAATGAGTTTTCTTTCGACCATAGTTTTATAAATAAAATTTGCAATAACGATTAACGATTAGATATCATGCAACCTATATAACTGAGAAGAAAAAGAAATAACCTTACTTAAAAAAGAAAAAGAATTAAAATTTCTTAAAACGAATGTGTGATCCGAGGATGAGAATGGAGAAGTAAACAGTACACAAAAGATAAGATTATTTGGTGTTCTACGAAAAATCAGAAAGAGGAGGACATTTGGCGGACTTGTCAAAGGGAAAGAAGGTAAGAAACAAATCGAAACGGAAATCGCAGAAATTAGGTTACTATCGTGCTTCTGATTGGTTAAACTGTTAAAGAGTCCAAAACCCTCGTTTTATTTCCTTAATTAACTATACTTCGAACTCTGTGCATTTTATATAACACCCTTAAATACATTCTGAGTCACTAACCTCAAAACAATTGTACAGTACAATTATTGTACTATATTTCGTTGATGATCGAGAGAGAAAAGGAAGAAAAGATATGTTAATGAACCGAATCAGATACAATCCGGTTCTAAACTTCTAATACAACTATGTTATATGTTACGTAGATAAAAAAAAATACTTAGATCATATATATATTATATAAATGATTTCAATTCAGAGAATATTTTTTGAAAGTAATGTGAGTAAACTACATTGAAAATGTAGAACAATACTAGTAAAACAAAAAAAATAAATAATTTGAATGAAAAACTGAATAATTTGGATATCTTTTGTAAAAATGAAAAATATAGAATTATTATAAAAAACATGTGAGATATATAGTTTGAATATTTAGATAGAGTACGAATGATTTGGATACTCAAAATTTTAACTAAATCGGATAATTTTTGGATGATTTATGTAATGTCAGAACATTGTAATAAATTGAATTACCATAGTATTTTATCTACTAAAATGTATTATACATTTATACTTATCTAAACGAGTATTTTTTTCTTTTTCTTTTTACTCCAAAAAATAGTAATCTGGTTCTTATATATTAATATGTTACATGTTAATTATTTTTTTCTGTTTTTTTTTTCTCTTGAAATTTTTCATTCAATCATGCGTGCATTAATTTAGTTACCTTCTAATACAAGATTAGGACTTAATTATAATTTATAAGAAAGAAGCGAGAAATGGAGAAAAGAAATTGTTCTTTGAAAGGAAAATTATCCAAGAAAATTATGGAGCTTTCAGCTCGAATTTTCCCAAAGTTATAAACTTTCTTCCTCAATTCAATAAGGGTTTGATTCATTTTCCTTCATCGACCAAGAAATCTCGGGTTTTCGAAGAGCCCCCGAACAATGGCGTGGAACGTGTTCAAGTTCTGCACAGCACTTCGCGCCTTGGGTTCGATTATGATCCTGGTCGTAATCGGAATCATCGGATTCACATACTACGCCGTTGTAGTCGCGAATTACGGACCGGCTCTATTGCTCGGTGGTTTCGATTCATTAGTAGCTCTTCTCGTTTTAGGGCTGTTTCACTTTCTGGTAAAATTCATATTGATTCTAATCCCTTTTGAGGATCTTGCATTTAGTACTGGTTTCGCTTGTTAGTCTTCGTTCTGTATTGGCTTATCTTTTGAGATCTCTGCTAATACAATGATAAGCTGGTCCGGATTTTGTTTTTTTACTTCTTTGCTCAGATCAGAATTTAATTTGGTATGAGACTCAATCTGGCTTGATGTAGATTAGGTTGATTAGATTTCTGATTGTAGGATTTCAAGTATCACGATGATGAAATCTATCACATCTTGTAATACAGATTGTAATTAGATTAGGACACTAGCGAGATATTCGAAAGTTTTGTCATGGATACTATAAGCCAAACAAGCAATCAAGTAGTCATCTTTTTTTCTTTTGTTTGGTTTAGTGTAGAGAGTGTCTGTGTTTCCTCTAGTTTTGAAGCTGTTGGTTTACTCTACCTTGTTATAGATTATCTAACATTTGAACTCCCACGCACTTTAGAACTCTCAGAAGTCATAGATAAACAGAGGAAGTGAAGGGAGTCCCTTGTGATGATTGTTGTTTTGTGTTGCAGCTTATAATGTTACTGTGGAGTTATTTCTCTGTTGTTGTTACGGACCCTGGTGGTGTTCCACCGGGTTGGAGGCCGGAACTAGACATAGAGAAAAACGAAGGAAACCAACCAGCGATTGCAGACCAATCACTTTCGGTTGGAGGTTCCTCGTCTCATGGTGTAAGATACTGCCGAAAGTGCAATCAGTATAAACCGCCACGTTCTCACCATTGTTCTGTCTGTAAGTCTCTTCAATGTCTGAGTCCGGTGGTGTATTTTTGTTTTTTTGTTTTTGTTCTTGAAAAAGGTTTCATCTTGGGCGTTTTCAGGTGGAAGATGCATACTAAAGATGGACCATCATTGTGTTTGGGTTGTGAATTGTGTTGGGGCAATGAATTACAAGTCTTTTCTCCTATTCTTGGTATGTCTAGGAACTTATCATAGCATTTTATGCAAATGAAGTTGTGTGTGGGCCTACGGGCATTGTTCATGAATAGGATTAGAACTTTTCTCGATTAATGAAGCGAGGCTAAGAGTTTCTTCTGTCTTGATCTATGTTAACTAATTCGCTTTGGACCCATGTTTCTAACAGTTTCCATGACACAATCCATCCTTCCACATGTACCAACAGATTTTCTTGAACTATTCTCTTATAAAGTATGTCATTATTGTTGCCATGATCTTAATGCATTCTCAATATGTCAAAATGCAGTTTTACACATTTCTTGAGACAACGGTGGTTGCAACATCATTATTTCCAGTTTTCCTTGTGTTCTTTACCGATGAAGAAGCTGATATAACCGTATCACCAGGAAGCCTGGCAGCCACCTTTGTTGCATTTGGTGAGTCCAAAGATACATATACATCTCAATTTCTATTTTTTGTGTAGTTGTTTGTTTCAGAACACCTTAACCATTAGCAATTCACAATCTTCCCTTTCTTGCTATCCAGTATTGAACATAGCATTTGCGCTAAGTGTCCTTGGCTTCCTAATCATGCACATACTGCTGGTCGCGCGTAACAGCACAACTATTGAGGTAAAAAAACTCTCACTTGGGTTTGCTTTTTAACTTAGATATCTCGAGAATATCCATTGCCCATGGCAATAAACTTACTGACTAATGTAATACTTCTTGACGTCAGGCATATGAGAAGTATACAGCTCCTAACTCGCCTTATAACCTTGGTCGTAAGACAAACTTTGAACAGGTTCTCTCTCCATCTCAAAACTCAATTCTTTTTATGGTCGATTCTTGGGGTTAACTGAAGAAGTTTCTGGCTACTTAAGATGGAAAAATCTTGGACATAAACACAATCAAAGGTTTTAAAGTTTAGTTTGTTTCTTTTGTTGAATCAGGTTTTTGGAAGGGATAAAATGTATTGGTTCGTGCCATTGTACACGGAAGACGATATGAAGAGGTTGCCGGCACTTCGAGGGTTAGACTTTACGAGCAGGTCGGAGGAGTCGGAGCCGCTTCAGTCTCTATGACCTTAAGCTTGTCACTCTTGGAAATGGGTCTGTTTTGTGTATGTATCATCAATATGTCTTGTGTATTAAAGATTAGTGGTTTAGTGGTTTTGAGGATGTTTTTTTTTTTTTCGTGAAAAGAAATTTCTCAACCTTTTTCTGCAACACAACTTGTATTTTCCTTTGACCGAATGACCAACACAATATATATATTTTTTGGTTGTTTCTTTTTGGGGATCATATGATTGAAATTTTCCTGATTGAAATTGCTTTAAAGTGTTTTTTTTTTCCTTCTTATTATGCAAACGATCAGTACTTTCTTAAATATTGCGGTAAGTTGATCACTCTAATGAAAACTAAATGCAATTATAGCAAAGTGACATTTTCTATAAATAAACAGATCATATAACTAATTTTAATTATAAGAAGAAATCTAATAATTACGCCATGTTAAGAAGAAAATCTATGAATTCCATTGACAATGGTCATGAGACAATTACAGAAATGGTGTCCGAGAGGAAACGTGTAAACGATCGGCCAATCATATCGCGACTTCTGTATAAAGTAAAAACACTTCTTAAAAATTCATTCTCTCATTTGCCGTCCTGCCGGAGAAAATTGCATAAAGGTTTTAAAAGATATTTCTCAATTGCAAATCATCATCAGCTCGAGAGATTTCTTCACTTTCAGATTTTAATTTCGCGAAATTCTTTGATTTTCTTGTGCCAATCGTTGTTCAAGGTATGAACTTTATGATCTTTCTCCTTGAATTTTTCTGTTTTGAGTTTCGTTTGTCTTTAGGGTTTGTCGTTATGGCTAGATTACGTTCCTGAGTTGTTTTCTGAACTTGATTGTCATCGATTAACGTAGCTTCTCTTAGTTTCCTCTTTCCTTTTCGAATTTTGATTCTATGTGATTCGTTTGGTATCAATCTGGTTTTGCTCGAACTATTGAATCGATGTACTAAGAATATTAGGAGAGCCTTGGGTAGGATCGATCCTGTTTGGGTGATTTAATTGGATTTGGTTTACTCTTGAAGTTGCTAAGATCTCTACTTTTGTGTTCCCTTTGTTTCCTCATGATGTTAACTTGCTGGAAATGTGATGAAAATGCAGTTTCAGCTTGCTGGAAACAATATGTGATCTTGTGTTTGTGTTTGAAGACAGCACTTTACATATACATATTATTTAAAAATTCTACTTTTTTTATCCCCTGTTTTAGTCAGTTGTTTTGCATTTAAGCTTTTTTCTCATATGAATCTTGTATTGTAGTAACCAGAGAAGATGCAAGGAGGTGGTAGAGATCCTTTCAACTTTGGTGGCCCTTTTGGAGGCTCTTTTCGTGGTGGTTTTGGTGGTTCTTTTGGTGGCCCTTTAGGTGGCCCTAGTAATGGTCCTCAGAATCTGATGGCCAATTTTTTCGGAGGAAGAGATCCGTTCGATGACCCTTTTTTCACGCAGCCTTTTGGTGGTGGAATGTTTCAGTCTAGCTTATTCGGTCCCAACATGGATCCTTTTGCAGGAATGCGTCCTCCATCGGGTTTTATCGAGAATCATCAGCCACCACAACCGAGAATATCACGTGGACCTATCATTGAAGAGATTGATTCAGATGATGAGAAAGAAGGAGATGGTGATAAAGAGAAGAAAGGAAGTCTAGGGAAACATGGCAGGTCAAGCAGTGAGGCGGAAGCTGAAGATGCTAGAGAAGAAGGTGAAACCTTTTTTTTTGTATTTTTCTTTCTCTGCCTTGGTTTTGAAACGGAAGGGTATTGTTTTGTTTCTTTGGAGCTGAGTGTGTGTTTTATGTTGATGCAGAGAGAAGGAACAGACAAATGCAAAACATGAATGTGAATGCTATGGTAAACAATGGACAATGGCAACCACAAACTCGTAGTTTTAGTTTCCAGAGCTCGAGTGTTACATACGGTGGTCATAACGGAAACTACTATACTTCATCGAAGACAAGAAGGACAGGAAGTGATGGGGTGAGTTGTAGCTGTAACGCCATTTGTTTGTGTAAAATCTTTTTAGTTTATGCTTGCTACTAAAAACCGGTGTTATTGTGAAACAGGTAACTCTTGAAGAAAGCAAAGAAGCCAATACTGCAACACGAGAAGCAGCGCACAGGATTTCAAGAGGCCTTCGTAACAAGGTAGCTTGATCGAACATACCTTGAGGAGGATAGTTAAAGTCTTTTTTTTTTTCGTTTTGTTGTTGGATCAATATAATTAGTGATGTTTTCAATGCTTGCAGGGCCACACGGTTGCACGTAAACTTAACTCAGATGGTCGGGTTGACACAACGCAGACCTTGCACAATTTAAACGAAAGTAAGTAACAGTTTTCTCGTTAAGCTTGAGAAAGATTAAAGTTGGAATGAGAAAATCAAAAAAGTCAGATAACCATTTACCTTTTTTCTTTTCTTGCTTTCAATTGCAAAAATCTGCAGATGATTTGGCTGATTTTGAACAGTCTTGGAGTGGAAATGCTAGAATGCAATTACCCGGTCGGTCTGGTTCCTTTGGCAGTAAGTAGTCACAAATTACGGTGTAGAATTTTTCTTTTTCAAATTTTTGGCGTTCTTTTCTAAACAACAAGAAAACTTCTCTCTTTTGACATTGTTACAGGTGGTCTTGTTAACAGAGAGCAGCCAATGTTGCTTCCCTCGAGTGATCCAAGTCCTTCTCGTGCACGAGAAGAGTCATCCAGAAGAACAAAGGCTGCAATGAATGTAAGAGGAAATGGCAGAAACTAATCTCGGACTACATGTACAAGTTCTTGAAGGCTTTAGTTGTAACCAAAGAGTATTATTATTTACTTAGTTGCATCGTTACTGTAACTGTATGATGACAGGATTTGAGGGTTTTATGATAATGTTATATGCATGTTTGTGCTACATTAAACTGTTCTTAGTGCTTATAACGCTGATTTTTTTTTTAAAGAAGTATCTGCAGACGTAGTAACACAGAAAACAGAGTTCAGAGACAAAGAAACAGAATTATGAATAAGTTTAAGAAGGAGACTCGATCTTTAAAACCTTTGTGTGGTTGCTCTGTTTTCCTTTTTTAACTCTGTTCGCGTTGCATGACCATTCCAACTTTCACATATTCGATATTGATGTAGACGACACCGTGAGAGTCTTCTCCGACAATCACCTCTACACACATTGTCGTTAACACCATCGTTGAATTGATCTCTGTTGCAACCACCGTAAGCTTTTCTACTTTGTTTGAGATTGTTTTTTCTAAAAGATTCAAATTATAGTTCTTATTATAAGAACCAGGATTTTAACTATAACAATCTATATAGACTTAGTAAACAAAAATGAAAGGCGAAATCAAAAGTAGAGAGAGTGGCCTCATTTGCTCTGACTATAGGAAGATATGATGAGATGATGAATGAATCTGTGGGTATATGTAAATCAGTAAATATATACTGAAACAAATTGGTACGGACAATTCTTGATTTTCCTCTTTCTAAAACAAAATTCTATTACTATTGTCTCTACGATTAAGTTTGACAAAGAAAAAGAAAACTCTACGGTAATGTGATTTACTTCCTAAGTGCATACATTTGTGTACCACTATTTCTCAGTTAAGTGGACTGGGAACTGCGTCAAGAAATATATATTTGTTTACTTGCTCCAAAACTCTCTCTTCATTTAACTTTTTGAGATTCTAACATAATAAAACCAAAAAAAAAAAAAAAATAGAATAGTGAGAACAGTATAGTCAAGACTCATGACTCACTTGCATTCCTGTGTTTACCCACACATTCAAGACGTCATGACTCATGATAGCATCATTTGTACTAAACAGTTTTTCTACTTACTATTTATAAAAAATCTCTCTTTATTTTTTAAGAGAAACTCCCATTTAAAAAATCAGTAATATGTATAAAAAAGGATTAAAATAAAGGCACCACGAAATGAAAAAAAAAATAGCATAACTTTAAAAAATTTTCACCATGTCAATGTAAGAATTATCACTTCATAATCCATCTACAAACGTTCAACATACTTTATAAGTGGGATCTATTCATTCTTCGTAGTGACTCATGACTTTTTGGATTCTGACTTTTCCCATAGTCTCAAAAGCTATTTGGTTTAATGAAAAGTAATATGGTTTTATACTCAATTCAGCTAAAAAACTAATTATTATCTGTTCTCATTTTAACAAATGGGTTTGCAAAGGCGCTTAAGTTTCGCATGATCTCACCTTCTAAGATGTAATACTATGGAACTTTACTTACTATCTCTACACTTTTTTGGAGTTATCTAATTCATGTAAAATTTTGCACTAGATATGCCAATGTTATGTTTGTATATAATATGAAGAAATGTTTATTTATAGTAATATTTAATTATTTAGCTGAAACAAAATAAATATCAATATGTAATATTTATTTTACTACTGTGAATCTGTGATCCAAATTTTCTTCCACCTTTCTATTGTTTTAATATTCGGTAGTGATGTGATATACACATTTCTTTGGTTTATCATTGTTTTTAGAAAACAAAATTGAAATTCGTTTGAAATACAGCGTATATCACTAGAACCCAACTAGTTTTTACGCTGTATTTATGAGCTTTGCAGAACTGCCATAGAACCCAACTATCTTTTTACCTCTCTCCCCAAAAACAATCTTTCGTCGGCTATGCATGTAACTATTGACTCCATAAGCCTTAGATGTTCGCTTGTTTGTCTTGAATTTAAGCATCAACACTTCGCCAACGGAAGTTCCAATATAAAACACGCATGCCTCCACTTCTTTGATGTATTCATTCGGCTCCAGCTCAAACTGCCAACAAGAAAAAGGATTTGTGAAGAAAACTGAAATCGAAAAAGCAATGAATTCAAGAAGTAAAAAATGTCATTAATTAGTTTGGTAATTAAGAGACCTCCTCGGTTTTAGGGTTATCGTGTGAAAACGTGCCGTGACTGTATTCGTGTCCATCTAAAGTCTCTGTACCGTCGAGGTACTCAAACATGATGAAGTTGATACCAGAAGAATCGTAGCTTATTGTTATCTTCTTAACATTGTCATGGGCTCAATCATTCCACGCGACTCCTACGACGTTACCACCCGTTGATGCCATTTTCTTTGACATTATTGTTTCCTGAAAAATTCAATGATCCACTCAAGAACGGCGAAATAGTTATAAGTATAACAATCAAATACAAGATTACTTTTAAAATATGGATGAAAAATGTTCACGAGTACCTAAAGAATGTCAATTTGTATAAAGCTTTTATATAGAGAGACGAGTAATCATTGATACTATACATCTCCGAAAAGCAGGGCCGGATCTGAGGACAGCCTCATGAAACATTCGCCTACAGCTCCAAAATTTTTCTTAGGTCATATGTAAATTTTTTGGCCTCAAAATTGCAAAAAGAAAATTTTGTTCTTAAATTGTCTATAGCCCCCAAATTATCAGATGCACATGTCAAATGAAATGAAGGGCGAAAATAAAAGTAGAGAGAGAGTGATTTGCCACCTTTTGGCTTTTCGTATCTCTGATTCAAGGAATATGTGATGAGACTTAAGAGAGTAGTGTGTAGGGACATGTCTATATATATTGACACGCTTTTGTACGGATCATACTTAATTTTTCTCTTACTAATTAATTAATATTAATTTAATTAACATTAACAAAAAAGAATTACTATTAACATTAAAAGAGCAATACTAATGTCTAATGGTGTAACTTTCTCATATTGGTTATATTAAGAGTTCTAAGTTTAGAGACCATTACATTTATAGGAAGTAGTTGTGTCGAGATGATGCAAGAAAGTGGTGATATTTCATAGACATACGTGAGAGAAATGCTTTTGCCATCTTCCTGAGTTCTGTTGATCCATTTAATTTTTTTTATAAAGTTTATTTGTATTTCAGAAAACTAAAATGATTAATTAATATATATACTTAAACTGCAGTATCAAATGGATTCAGTAATAATTTCCTACGAAAGAAGACAAAAAAAAATATTAAGTGGTGATCATATTTGGAACAGTAGTAAGAACAATAAAACATCACTGTAAGATTTTTATAAACATATGTTCGCTAATAAACATATTCAATTGTAGGATTTTCCAAGTGACGGGAACAAATAAGACACGATAACATATTATCGGCCTGATCATCAAAGAATTTAAAAATGTTATTTTTCTTTAAATATTTTCGTACATATAGAAGAATTTGATTATCATATTATCGGCATTTGTGTTCTGATTTTAACGCAATTAAGATGTTTGTTAAGTATTATTGGTGCTCCTAAAGATGCAGATGGTGTTGCAGATGTTGATGTTTCATCAACTCCATGATTATCACCCATTTGTTGGTTTTGTGTCATGAAAATATCTTCAAACATAGGAATATTAGAATATTGGGGTACTTTATCGGATTCCATGGTGGTCACGATCTCATGATTTGCTCTTTTAAATTGTTGAAATTTTTTTCATAAGCCAAAGACATACCACAATACCCGATTACAGAGTCTTGGATGCTTCAGCTTTATAGCTGAGAGCATTAACAACATGTTCACGTTGTAAAGGCGAGAACGTCTTATTGTTTAGTATTTTCTAAACGTTTTCGGCTTCAAAAATTCTATGCACACGGTCAAACTTTTCAGACTCCGTCGATGGAAAATATGGTATAAAAGCGCATTCACCTATACACACGGATTTCAAGACTTTGTATGCAGAACAAGGGTTAGAAGCCATTCTTCTTTTTTGTATTATCTCTTTTAACCCTAAAAGACACAAGTGGATGAAATAAGAAAAAATAAACTTGAATCTTCATCTAAAATAAAACTATAAAATTAATTATGAACTATATATAGGCATGGACATAAAAGATTCCGCTCGATAATGGATATAAGGTACTACAATCTTTTTCAAGCTTGTTCATGATGAGTAAAATATTTCTATAAAAACTATATGTTCTGACAATTATATCATATAGTTTATCATAATATATAAGAAAAAATGTATTTAATTAAGGTAAGTTATATAAAATTTACTTTTCTTCGAAACTCATAACTGAAGATCATGAACGTGAAAATGATAAGCAAACTATGAGTGAGTAAAATAAATCATATAATAAAAAATATATATACAGATATATATATATATCGTACAAAAATGATTATCAAAACTTATTATTTTAGTTTTTTATATTGCATGGATTTAAACACAAGTTACACAACCGTGCACATATGTTTGTGGTTAAACTGTGAGACAATGAAATTTTTTTACTAAAACTCCTACGGCTTTTAGGAAAAAAAAAAATTCCTACATGTAATATACAAAAAAAGATCGAGCTAGGTATTGATACTAGATTCAAAGATCACAAAACCAGAATCAAATGAAATTGCTAAATGAATTGAAAGAAAGACCTGAGATTTTTAATACCTTGAATATCTTTAAAATGTGATTGATGCCTGTAATGAAGAAATTAGTCTTGGTTTTAAGGCACTTATATATACTTTGATTTGTATGTTTAGAGGCAAGTCCAATTATAAATTAACATTTTACCAAAAAAGGTCCAATTATAAATGTTTAAAGTTTGACTAATATACCATATTTTGAAATTATCTTAAAGTGATAGGATAGACTACATATTCTCTTTTTTGGAAAAATAATGTCACATTAACCTTTTCTCAAATAATAAAAGATAATATCACATTTATCATTCATTAGTGTGTACATTAATTTTTTAATTCATTACTAATATACATAACTTTTCATTATTTCAATACATCAAAATTTAGATATTATTTAGGGTTTATCTGCTATGTAATATTTGAATAGCAAAATAGCTGAATAAAAAATAGTATAATTATAGGACGAGAAAATTCAAGATTTAATAAACTTAAATTGCTAAAAATACTATTGTTTGTTTGATAAATAAAGTTTTATCTAAATTTATTTTAAAATTTAAAATTTGCGAGATGAATTGAAAAATAATTTGTTAATTTTTATTATTATCATTTTGTTCTTATTACTATAAACAGTATATATTAATGAGAATCATATTTTCAAAACAGAAAAACGTGAAAAACTTTATATTATTCAAGCTTGTAGTTTAATTAAGTTTTTATTTGTTTTAGGTTTTTAACTAGTTTTGGTTTTTTAGTGTCGGATATTAGTTCATTTTTATATGATATTTCATAAAAGAAACTTAGTTTTTTAAACCAGAACAAATTATATGTGTGGTTATTCATCAAGAAGCTACGTGTTTTAGTTGTTGGTCTTCTCAAGCTACGTGCATGTTTCACTTGCTTCCCATTCCGAGAGATATTTTTTCAAACGAGGTATGAGTCGTTTGACACATATAGTTAACCAATGGTTAATAAATTTACATATAAGATGTATCTGTTCTTCAAATGTGGAATCCTCTCTTCATTCCTCCAAGCTGAAACAGAACCAAGGACAATATCGTTATTTCCACATATCACATTCAAAGAACAGAGGACATCCACATAAATCATGAACAAAACTTACTGAACAAAAAATTGAAACTATTCATATAAACATTCTTTAGCCCTTAACTTTGTTGGCGTAATGACTTCCATTTTCTCCATCAAAAGCAACAAAATTCTTACTACCAAACCAAATATATAATTTAAAAGACCAAGAGCCACCTATTCTGGAGCACAATTTTATATTTATGTAAATCTAAATAGTTTTTTTATTCAATTTGGAACACCCACAACGACATAAAAGACTGAAGTCTTTGGAAGACAAACTAATTAGGACAAACTAGTATACATTGACATCTCTCCTCCATGACCTTTATATAGACCACCCACATTTTCAATCGCATATCATTACGTGTAGAATAAGTATTTATACAAATCCTACCATTATATCCATATTTCGTTTACTCATATATTTAATATATATTACGCATGTAAATTCTTGTTCATGTATTTTTAGGTTATTATTTTATATGATCATCCAAAAGATCTAGGTTAGAATCAATTTTTAAATGTATTTAGGTTATTCTTTAATAAAAAAAATAATACAAATTTGAAAATCGATTTAGATCAAACAACATGAATTATTTATTATATAAAGAAACTACAGGAATTTATGATGAAATTGAAATAAAGAAAAGAAATGACAACAAATTATTACGGGAATTAAGGTGCATGCAAATATCAAATAAACACAACAAGCATTTTATTATGTTTTGTTCTGGTTTTAACGCAATTAAGGTGTCTGTTGAGTATCATTGGTTCCTCCTAAAGATGCAGGTGGCGTTGCAGATGTTGATACCTCATCAGCTCCATGATTATCACCCATCTGTTGGTTTTGTGTCATGAGGAAATCTTCATGGTTTTGTGTCATGAGGAAATCTTCAGGCATAGGAGTATCAGAATATTGCGGTACTTTATCGGATCTTTTGGTGACCACGATCTCATTCTTTGCTGAGACAATTTGCTCTTTCAAATTGTTGAGAATTTTTTCATAAGCCAAATACATACCATAACACCCGGTTACAGGATCATGAATGCGTGCTTCAGCTTCATAGTTGAGAGCCTTAACAGCATGTTCACGTTGTAAAGGTGAAAAAGTCTCATTATTTAGTATTTTGTAAACGTTTTCGGCTCCAAAAATTCTATGCACACGGTCAAATTTTTCAGGTTCCGTTGATGGAAAATATGGCGCAAAAATGCATTCACCAGTACACACAGATTTCAAGACTTTACATGCAGAACAAGGGTTGGAAGCCATTCTTTTCTTTGTATTATCTCTTTTAACCCTAAAAGACACAAGGGGATGAAATCAAAAGAAATAAATCTTGAATCCTCATCTGTAATAAGACTACAAAATTAATTATGGACTATATATAGGCATGGTCATAAAAGATTCCGCTCGATAATGGATATAAGTTACTACATTCTTTTTCAAGCTTGTTCATGATGAGTAAAATATTTCTATAAAAACTATATGTTCTAACAATTATATCACATAGTTTATCATAATCTATAAGAAAAAATGTATTTAATTAAGGTAAAGTTATATAAAATTTACTTTTCTTTGAGACTCATAACTGAAGATCATGAACGTGAAAATTGATGAGCAAACAATAAGTGAGTAAAATAAATCATATAATAAAAAAAAGAACAAAATATATATAGATATATCGTACAAAAATGATTCTCAAAACCTATTATATTAGATTTTTATATTGCGTGGATTTAAACACAAGTTACACAACTGTGCACATATGGTTGTGGTTAAACTGTGAAACATTGAAATTTGTTTTCTAAAACTCCTACGGCTTTAATGTAATATACAGAAAAAAAAGATCGAGCTAGGTATTAAAACTAGACTCAAAGATCACAAAACCAGAATCAAATGAAATTGCTAAATGAATTGAAAGAAAGACCTGAGACTGTTAATACCTTGAATATCTTGAAAATGTGACTGATGCCTGTAATGAGAAAATTAGTCTTGGTTTATAAGGCATTTATATATACTATGAATTTGTATGTTTAGAGGCAAGTCCAATTATAAATGTTTAAAGTTTGACTACTAGTTAGATACCTTCCATATTTTCAATTACTATAATGTGATAGAGTAGACTACATACTCTCTTTTTTGGAAAGATAATATCACATTAACATTTTCTCAAAAAATAAAAGATAATATCACGTTTATCATTCATTAATGTGTGTGTTATCTTTTTATTCATTACTAATATACATGACTTTCATTTTTCATTATTTTAAGACATCAAAATTAAATTACCATAATAAGATAGAGTAGACTACATACTCTCTCTTTTGGAAAGATAATATCATATTAACGTTTTCTCAAAAAATAAAAGATAATATCACATTTATCATTCATTAATGTGTAAGTTACCTTTTTATTTATTACTAATATACATGACTTTCATTTTTCATTATTTCAATACATCAAAATTTAGATATTTAGGGTTTATTTCAATACATCAAATTTAAATATTTGGGGTTTATCTGGTATGTCATAGCTGTATAGCAAAATAGCCGAATACAAAAATAATATAATCAATTGGAGGAGAAAATTCAAGACATAATAAAATTAAAACGCTAAAATACTATTGTTTGTTAGATAAATAAAGATTTATCTAAAATTATTTTAAAATTTAAAATTTACGAGATGAATTGAAAAATAATTTGTTAATTTTTATTATTATCATTCTATTCATATTACTATAAACATTAATTATATACTCATCAGAATCATATTTTCAAAAATGAAAAACGTGAAAAATTATATATTATTCAAGCGCGTAGTTTAATTAAGTTTTATTTGTTTTAGGCTTTTATCTATTTATCATTTTTTCCAGTGTCGGATATTAGTTCATTTTTTATATGATATTTCATAAAAAACTAATCTTTTAAAATATATTTTGTGTGTATATGTGTGGTTGTTCATAAAAAAAGTATGTGTTTTAGTTGTTGGTCTTCTCAAACTGCGTGCATGTTTCAGTAGCTTCACATTCCAAGAGATATTTTGTCTAACTACGTGTGAGTCGTTTGACACTGAAACATATAGTTAATGCAGTGGTTAATGAATTTACATATAAGATGTATTTGTTCTTCAGATGTCAAACTATTCGTATAAACATTCTTTAGCACTTAACTTGGTAGGCGTAATGACTTCCATTTTTTTGTCATCAAAAGCAACAAACCAAATGTGTAGTGTAAAAGACCATGGGCCACCTCTTCTCGAGCACAATTTTATTAGAACTTGCACCCATTTAGAGCTCCATCAGTTTTTGTCTCGCCGTTGCTCCTTCACTCCAAATCCGACGATGTGTTTTGTTGGGCCTGGTCGGAAGTGTACGTTTATTCTGACCCATTTTTAAGCACAATATTTCATATGTTTGATGCTTCAGAATTTGGTCAACATTCTATATTTGGTGAAGCGTTTGTATTGTTACTCTCTTAGGGTTGACTCTTTTGTACCCGTAGAGAGATCCCTAACATCAGCCATCTCTTTCATGGAGCACCATCCCTCTTTTTTATTGAGCAAAACTTTCTCTATCCAGTATACACCGTCGATGCTTATCTCCTTCGGTTCAGCCACCGTCACAAGCTGCTTCCTTGACCCATTTCGTCTGTACCTTCGATCATTGGATTAAGCTATCCGAAAAGGCTTCTGCCTCCACCGTCCCCTGCTCCCTCACTATATCCGTTCAGCCATCGCCAAAAGCTGCCTTCAAAGTCACATCTAAAAGTGACTAATTTCAAAATATCCGGCTTTGCCATGAAGTCTTACTCGACTCATTTGAGGCTTGCTTCATATCCGCTGTCTTTCTTCTTCCAGGAGGAATTATCTGTACTATGGTTTATTGTCTTTATCTTGTATGTTAGTAAGTTAAGAGGATGTTACATTCCCTTTCTTTGTATTTGTATTTGGAAAGAGTAATCTAATGAAAAAAAGTGTTGAACAAAAAAAAAAAAAAAGAGAAGGACGTAACAACGACATCAGACTGAGGAGAACTAATTAACACATAATATGATAATTGTTTATAACTTGGCCATTATCAGAAAGAAAAAAAAAATGATCCATAACTTATGGTTAGTAGATAGAACATTTTAAAACGTCATTCCTATTAATATTCACCGTAAAATTTACTTTCGTGAAAGACTAGCACGTTGAAATAATTCCTCTTGTGTTTTAAACAATAAATTTTGCTTGGTTTTGGTGGAGTATTGATGAAAGTTGTATCTGATCCTTACACTTATAAACCTAATAAAATGATCCTAACCATTATAAATGATCGAATAGGTTTTCAAATTGTTACAAATTACAATCAAACATCTCAAAGCGGTTGGACGCGTTCTAGAAAAGTACACAACGTTCATATTTTTTTTTTAACCAAAGTTTTACACAACGTTCATATTCGAGGAAAATGATCACAAGATCGAAGGGTTCCATGAAAGATCTTCATTAATTGTTTCTTGAACAAATTGGTGTTTCTATAAAGCCAATGGGTAACTCTTAAGTAATTAAGAGAAATTTTTATCCGTCACTATGGATTTTATGTTTAGAGTAAAGCAGTACGTACGCTCCAACATATTACATTCATCAATTTTCTTTTCTATCTAGTGGAAAATGTATTTTCCTAATTTGAAGCACGGTGGTAAGCAATTAGGGAAATCTAAAAACCATATAAACCGAACCGGTTCTTGTTGGAGACAGAGGAAAAAAAACACACAATTGTTGTGATACTGCTTAACCGGAGAATTATACTTAGCACAAAAGTTGAAAACCTTTTCTTCAAACACTAACTAGAAAGCACACTCATTCACTCTTCTTCATACAGTTTATCTCCAGAAGGAGTGTCTCTATATTGGGCCTATTGTTTGGAATCTCCTGTGTACAGCTTATTCCAATCCTAGCCATTGCAATCGCCTCTGATTTATCAAACTCTTCACGAAGATACTCATCAATGAACCCACAATGCTCTCCATTTTCAGCTGCAATCCTCAGTGAGCTTGTAAGCATGAGCTTGCCAGAGAGTATCTGGAGAATGATGACTCCAAAGGCAAAAATGTCTGTTTTCTCAGTGAACTTTCCGGTTGTGACATACTCTGGAGCTAAATATCCCATTGCTGCACTTGTTTTGAGTGCTGAGAAGACCAAATCATCTGCTAGAAGGTTGTGAAGACCAGAATCAGCGATCAACGGGTTAAATTGCTCATCAAGCAGGATTTTCTCGACAGAGATGTTTCGATGAACTGTTATAGGCTTCTTTTGTTGATCACTTCCATGTAAGTAAGCAATACCTGCAAAGAGATTTTGCGTTAAACACAATTTTGTACTTGCAACTGAAATTTTCAACTTAAAAAAGAAGTGATTTCAAAGACTTAACCTTTTGCAATCCCTTTGATGATAGATACTCTTGCAGGCCAATCAAGAACCCGGTTGGTTTCGTTTTCTTGTAAATCAAGAAAATTCGAGAGCTTTCCTTTTGAAGCAAAATCATAGATTAGGAAACACTCTCCTCTGCCTCTAGAACAACAGAATCCACGTAGCTTCACTAAGTTTTCGTGTGACAGTGAGGATAAAAGCTTTAAACCGTTCATGAACTCGACTTCCTCGTTCTTGCAACTGCTTATGTTGATGCTTCTGATAGCTACCAAAGAACCATCTCTGAGGATTCCTTTGAACACTGAGGTAAAGCTGTTTCTGCTCAGTAAGTTAGCCTCTGAGAAGCATTGTGTTGCAGATTCAACCTCTTCTAAGTTAAACCTGAAACTGCTATTGACAACAAAGAGATGAGGCTCTTGTGAGAACTCAGCTCCGTTTCTGCTGTCTCCGAGTGGATCCCATTCTTTGGTGTAAGCAAGACTCACGAGTGGCGATGCCCTGAAATCTTTTTGTTGATCTGTGCTGAGTCTTCCCTCGGAAATCTCTCCTGTGTTACTAATCTTTTGCTTCCTTCTTCTGTAGCGAAAGAAGGTCAATAAACCAGCACCAATCAGTGTTATACCGACTGTAATCACGCTTGAGATCAAAGCAACTTGTGGGAGTTTCGATGATGATTTCTGCTTCTGGTGATACACAGACTCGGAAATGTTGTGAAGAGTTGATTTATTAGTGTCTAGTTCACCTGGAGGCTGCTTGAGTTGTTGGATAGTTTCATCATCGAAAGCAGAACAAGCTCTCAAAGAAGGAAAATCGACGCCACATAACCCAATGTTGTTCTCAAACTTGAATTTCTCATTCAACTTCTTGAGACCTTTGACAAGATTTTAAAAGCCGAGTCAAGAAACAGAGAGATAAGTTCTACAAAGATATTTCAAGAATCATATTACTTACCAGGAGGAACAAAGCCAGAGAGAGTATTGTTGCGCAAGTCAAGTGTATCCAGCTCAGGAATGTTGTCTAGGGTTTTTGGGATCGATCCTAATAGATTGTTGAAGCTCAAATCAAGCCTACTTAACAAACTCAAGCCTCCCAAACTCGAAGGAACCTCTCCGGTTAGTTTGTTGTGTTGCAGAGACAACACGTTTAGCTTCTTCAAGGATCCAATGTTGTTTGGTATCTTCCCTGTTAAGCTGTTGCAGCAGAGATCCATAACTGCAACAAATTACAACACAACCATTCATATCAAGTCGGTGAAAATTATGAGATTCATCTGTTTAGTGTGGTTTAAGGTAATCCAGCTCTGTTTCTAGCTTCTGTTCCGGCTAAGTCTCATTCGGTTAAGCTAAAGTAAATCCTGGTTAATCTAAACCGGATTGGAATTTGCCGGTGAAGCAAAATATTGAAAAGATTGTCAGATGTCAACCTTGCAAGCCAGCCATGGAGCCAATCTCTGCCGGAATCTCACCGGAGAAGTTATTAACATTGAGATAAAGATCTGATAATTCAGTGAGATTCGTGATCTCTTGAGGTATCTCTCCGGAGAGACTATTGTAATGTAAGTAAAGACCTGACAAGCACTTGAGCTCTGCAACCGCCGGAGACAGTTTTCCGGCCAGACGTTTCCCTTGTAACGATATGTTTGCGACTTTCAGGTGCTGGTTACAGGCGATTCCTTCGAAAGATCCGTCGCATGGATCGCCGTCAAGAGTCCATGATCGGAGAAGCTTGTTTTCCGGGTCAAGAGAACTTTTGAGCTCCATTAAAGCTTTTAGCTCAGCATTACCTCGAACAGTCGGTGAAGTTGAAAGAAAAATTGAGAGAAGGATCAGTAACGTGGCATGTAAGGCAGCCATTACTGCTCTTTGCTCATTTATCTCTCTCTCTGTTTCGCCTTTAGGCAGAAAAAGATGATTTTTTTACGAGAGCCCAAGAATTCTCTTAAGCTCTAACTTCTTCTTCTCTCTCTGTCTGTAGAATTCTCCTCTTTCTTGACTTGAAAAAAGAAGTAAAGGGAAAAAAAATCCGACAAAAGCTATTAAATTTATGAAGCAGAGTACTCTGTTTTCTTCTGAAGCAGATCTATCTCTTCGTATTTTTCGTGGTTTTAGCTTGGCGAAGAGAATATAGAAAGTTTTAGAGAGGGACCCAACTTCAGAATCTAGGACCGAAATTTATCTGTTTGTTTCTCGATTTTGGAAACTCTAGCTCCAACCCTCGTGAATGGAAGTTTTTTGTTTATCTGCAGAATATTTCTTGTTATGGAGAGAATAGGAAGAGAGAAGAACAGAGCTTAGCTGGTGAAAAGTGGGAAGACAAACAACGCATTGAATACTCGGTCTCTGTGTCTCCAAGATAGAGAAAGAGACGTGTACTGCTTTTGAAAAGGAAGGCCAAATCTTGATGACTTTTTTGGTTTAATTTGAAGACAGTTAATGTTCACATTTGTAACTTGTAGTTGTAAGTGGGGAATGGGATGTATTTCCTTGAAATGTAATTAGCTTTTAAAAAATATGATTAATCTATTGCTCTTCATTTTCTTGCATTGGTTTATGATTTAGAAGATTTTGCAACTTTTTTAGTATATTTCTATATTGTAAATTTTGATTTAAAACAAAACGTACATAAATCATATTTTAGACCGAAATAAGTAGACGTTTAACAATGAGATAGAATAATCATTACACGAAAAACATTTAAAGACAAATAATTCCGCATTTAACTAAATGAAGTAAACTCAAATAATTCGTAATCCCGCATAACTGTGTAAATAGTAAACAAACGAGGAATCACAGAATCATTTAGCGATTTCATAATAATAGATTTTAGTAAGCTTTAACCAAAAAAATACATTAACTTAAGTAGTTACGTCTAAAATCCGCAAATTTCAAACACCTATGCGTAGTTATAAATGGGTAAAGTGTAGAGCGGCTTTAATGTGAGAAAACGATACAACGAGTGTAGTTGAAGTTCATGTTTGGCGATTGGCACTTTGGCTTATAGTAATAACTTTTGGAATCATTTCCAAACTGGGATCATCCTTTTGGTTTTTGTCAACACTCCTTCTCATTCTCTGAACATGCCACGTGCACGTGTTTACTCGTGCATACACTTACACATACACCATATACGTGTATCCATATATAGTCTCTAAAAACGAGTAGATTTTTTGGATGAGAACAGTTGATAAAAGAATCTTTTGTTTAGATCCATTTCTTATAATGAGTAAATAGGATTTATTAAAGTCAAATGATAATATCGAGATTTAGAGGACAATCATTCCACTAGCTTTTCTTTATTTATGCTAATTAATTGTAGATTACAAAGTATAAACCGATAAAACTTTTACATTATATAATGATTAATTATATAAATACTACTCCAACATTCATCTAATTCGCTTATAAGGTATTTGTTAGTTCATGTATCAAAACCTAACTTGGGATTAGTACAGTTTGACTATTATACAAGAATCCAATGTTGACTCCAACATTCATCTAATTCGCTTATAAGGTATGTATGTTCTTTGATTTATACAAACTTATATTATATACGTACTATTTTTGCCGGGGCATCTTATTATCTGGACCACTGTGTGGCAAAATAACAGTAAATGAAATTGGTGAATATAATAACAAAAACGAATATGAGAAGCAATTAAAGGCAACTTACAACTCGAAAATGAAACTACTGTAGCGATCTGGACGACGAGTGCAATGTGAACTGAAATAATAAGAACTTATCAACGGCTAGTTTCAGATTCTTGAAAACAAACCGAAGAATCTGTTGATATGAATCAGCATTGAAGTTCTTTGGTATTGGAGACTATAGTACTTCTTTTTTCTTTTCCCATATGTAAAAGGGGATATACTTGTAAATCATCTAAGTTTAGATTTTTCTTCGAATAATCTTACCACCAAAAAAATTTCATCCATTTAACATCAGAACTTTCATGAATTCAAGTTTCAGATGAATAACATAGCTAGTAGCCAAGTATAGTTTAACAAAAAGTATAACGTTTTTTCCTTATCATCTGTTTTTCACCTTTTGGAATTTGAAGATGGAGGAAGACTTTTGAGATACTTTATCTTTTCTTTAATTATTTGATCTTTAATTGATCGTTTTACTAATAACTTTTGTCATCTTTTGAATCTCTTTTTTTTTTCCGCTTGTCTTTTTTTGAAATCTTTATAATCTATCGTTTAGAACTTTTGAAATTAATTTTATTGTTATTGGAGCTTTAGCTTAGTACAAAAGACTACGCTCCGGTCTCCACGACCTACTTTCAGATCAGGAAAAGTCTACAATGTATTACTTGTCTTAGGAAATTCTATATTCCAATCACCCAAATTTTCTTTCAGTACGCAGTGATATATTCCATAAAACTTTCCTCTACTAGGACCATCACATACGTTATAAAGAAAAGAAGTTTAAAAACTTTTACTGTTGATTAAGTTGTTTTTGTATGATTAAGGAACACGAATGCAACAATCTCTCCACCATTATCGGTAGAAATGCACTTTAATATATAATATATTATCAAAGCAAGAAAACAAAAAGCATACAAATATCAAGAAATGCAACACAAATAATTTGAACTGCTACAAAGAAACTTGCCAACTTACCTTGAAAAATTGAAAGTAATATACCAATCTAGAAATCATTCAAAATCAAAAGAAACGATCATAACATTTCGCTAATAAAACACATTACAACTTCACTTTCAAAAAAAGAATGTATCGAGTACTAAGATTCATTCTCAAAATGGATAAAAAATTAAATAAAACAAATGGGTACACAATCAATTCGCAGCAACGTTCTTATCTCCAAGTACCGAATCTTCCTTCTCTCGCCACACAGCATGAACCTCGTCTGTGCGAAACCGCTGCGTAAAGGTAGAGTCTTGAATCGGCGTTTCAATACCGTTGACAAATGCGAGTAGACCCGTGTAAGCGATCATCGCTCCATTATCGATGCAATAACGATCATCGGTTGCAAACAGCTTACCGTCACGTTCAGAGCACATCGTCCTCATCATGTCCTGCAAACGCTCGTTACACCCAACACCACCAACTATCAAAACGTCTTTCTTGTCACAATGCGCCATCGCTCTTTCAGTGATCTCAACCAGCATCGCAAACACCGTTTCCTGCAAGATCAACAACAATCTTCTAAAAAGTCCAAAACTTTGTGGCAAGATTTATCATTTTACGAACAAGTGATAGCCTTACTTGAAGGGAATAGCACAAGTCTGCTGGTGTGCACTCGTTATTCTTGAGCTTCTCCTCTGCAGTAGTTTCGATATAACTCAAGATTCCGCTGAATGATACATCCATACCTTTAACAGCATACGGAAGATCAATAAAGTTTTCTCCTTTCTTCGCAAGCTAGTTAATAACAAAACAAAAAACAAACGAGTGAACAATGTGGTTCTTGAATCTTGATAAACTCGAGTTTACTCTACATGAAATCTACCTGTTCGATATTATAACCAGGACTTGGATCATTAGAAAGCTTCAAGACTCTAGCGAACCGGTCCAAGCAATTACCAACAGCAATATCAATAGTCTCACCGAAAATCCTGTATCTACCTTCACTGTAAGCAATCACCTGAGTGTTGCCACCACTCACATACAGAACAACGGGATCATCAGCTCCAGTAACCACTCTCCCCATCTCAATGTGAGCCACACAGTGATTCACAGCGACGATTGGCTTCTTCCAAAGCTGTGACAATACTCTAACGACAATGGCTGAGACCTGCAATGGCGCTCCCATCCCGGGACCTTTTGTGTAGCAGATGCAGTCGATTTCTTCCGGAGTTATATTGGAAGTCTCGAGAGCTGATTTGACTAAAGGAAGAACATGGTCGAGATGGTGATGTGCAGTCTCTCTAGGGAGGAAACCGTGACCAGGCGGTGTTATGTATGTGTGCCGAGGATTGGCTAAGATTGTACCGTCTAATGTCACGATTCCAACACCAATTTTGTTAGCTGAACCCTCGAAACCGATAGCTATCTTTTTCTTCATTTCTTTGGTTTTAAGAACAGAAACTCACTGCACATAGAAACAACAAAACCAGAGCAGGCAAACATCAACAACTGAGGATTATATGAAGAAAGAACAAAACTTTAGTCCCAATTGATTCGTACAATTAATTTTAGCAAAGGGGTAGTGAGCAAAATCACTCATTTTCAGTGGACTGATAAGAGATTCAACAATAGATTCGTTTAACCTAACTTTCAGGGAACAGAAGCATCTTAATGTTAGAAACTCATGATGTAAGAATTGAAATCGACTAAGTAATATGAATAAGAGATGAAAACTCATAGTGTAAGAATCGACCAAAGACAAATGAAACATACCTCAGCCTCGGAATCAACTGTTTCAAAATCTACGGTCTCTTGTTTTCAACTCAGACCAAGGTTCTTCGATTACGTACAACCAAATTCTTCTTCTCTGTTTTAGCCTGGCTTTTGGTTTCAGAAGCTCGAACGAAAATCTTTTATCTTTGCCGGTTTTGATTTCGTCACTCTTTCCCCTGATAATGCTCGATCGAATTGAAGGCCTTCGAGCTTGAAGCTCTGTTTTTTTTTTATTTTCAGAGAGAAAGTTTGTGCGAGATTTAGGGCTTTTCCGCAATTTGGGGCTCTGGTTCAAATCTAATTCGGGTTTGGTTCAATTTTAAGTTTTGGGATTTTGGTTCAATTTTAAGTTTTGGGATTTTGGTTCAATTGGAACTTAACACGTGAGAGTATCTTTAAACTCGTGGTTACGCTTTAAATGGCATGGTGTTCTATACGAAAGATTACTCGTCAGGTAATCTCAATAACAATAAGTGTTCTATACGAAAGATTGTTTGTGTGTTCTCTTGTAGTTTTGTTCAATTGAATGTAAAATTCTCTGGCTTTTTCCTTTTTCTTTTCCCATTTTATATGTTTCTTGTTAGAAATCTGAACAATAAATCGTTGGATGATTCTCTGGGTTGTGTTATCTTTGTCTGGGAGATTTTTGCTGATGCTTTTGGGTTATGTCTTCATCTGGAACTTGCATATACTTCGGAGAGCTTGGCGCTTGAGGATCCGACAAAAAAAAAGGAAAAAAAGAAAAGAAAAGAAAGATAAGCTCATGATCAATATAGATATATTATATATTCACGAATTATTAGTAAATAAATCGTACTAGTATAAGCAAAGAGTCTCAGTTTTATAGTCATGCCTAAAACTATAGTGTCACTCATTTAGGAAATAATCCAATAAATATAAATTTTGATTTCTTGTTATATACCTTCCTTATTTTCAAATTACCAATAATGTGATAGAGTAGACTACAAAATTTAAAGGATACTATCACATTTATCATTCATGAATTATGTTACTTCTTTAATTTATTACAAATATCATTTTTTATTTCTATAAATCAGAATTTAGATATTTGGGGTTTTTCTAGTATGTCAGTTGAGTAGCTGAATGACAAAATCATGATCATTGACATGTCAGTGAGTAAGTGACCTTTCATAATTTGAACATTGAAATGGACTTTGATTGATAGTATAGATTTGTTTTTGTTAAGCAAGGAATCATATACCAAAACTCGGACTAATTCTCAGAACATGTGGAAATATGGATTTTTTTTTGCTACCTATGATATCCACAAGTTGCTAACTATAATTTACACTACAGTGGAAAATTTTGATTTCTTCTCTCCAACTAACAGAGTGAATCTTCAACCACTATGCCACCATGAGTTGATTCATTTTAAAAGAGATTCATAACTTGGAAGTTGCCATCGATTTTTTTCTAATGTGTTTTAACAAGTTTCATCCTTGCAGTTAAGATTCACAACTATATACATGCGCATAGATTATAGAACGGAGTATGCGTTTTCAATCAGGAGTGCTTCTGACCTAAAAGCCTAGCGAGCTTGTGCTTTAGACCACATTTATTTTAGTTACCTTCCTATTAGAATACATGATTATGGTTTCTTGTTTTACATGATGTTTTTGGGTGTAATTTTTTATTTAGTTAGACAAACAATATTGTAATCTCTTAACATTAAAACAAAAAAAAATAGAAAACAATATTGCAATTGTTGTGTATTATTTTACATGAAGAAGTTTCTTTCACAGTTTTTTCATAATTTTAATTTCTACCACAAACCATAGTTTCAATGTTTATATATTTTTATAGGTTTTTATTATTTTTATCTTTTACATCATCTTATATTTAAAATTATTAATGACAAATATTACCACAACCAATTCGTTTGCTCAACTAGCCTCTCCTAGATTAGGACCGGCCTGGCCTTAAGAAAATAGTTTGGCTAATTTATAGTTCCAAAACGACCCAAGAGACAGCAAGATTGAGTTCAAAACAACAAAATCATCTCACAAGTTATCAAGCTATACAATGTGAAAAAATCTACCAGTAGATAAATGAAGCCAAACATTCTGAGAGAACAAGGTGTTTGCCGCTTAACAGAGAACCATTTTTATTGCGATGCAAAGTTTCCGCGCAAGCCAAACAGAGAAGATAGAGAGAACTCCGAGCTTATAGTGATACAGAGACTCACATGACTAAAACTCTAGACTAACTAATATTCGTTTTTTTTTGTCTAGCCAACATAAAAACTAAACTACCATTTCACACAATAAATTCAGACTCATCTCAAGATCAATCTTAGGTTATAGCCAAGTTCAATTTGCGCCAAAGTGATGTTGGCATGAGTTACATCATCACCATTCCTCGACAACAAATTGTTTTACCCAACTCAAGATGAAATCTTTTTTTTTTTACCGTTCATACAAGTAACAACATTACTTCCAGGAACCAACTAATTGTCCCCAAGTTTAGATCTAAATTTCGCTTGACCATTCTCCTTACCCAAAAGCAATCAAAGAGATAATGAAAACTAGAGTTTTAAGGGTGCTTTCCTGTTGAGAATATATTGTAGAAGTCAATTAGGACTTTCCATGAATATAATTTAACTGAATGATTTGTTTATTAACTTTAATTTTATGTATATCTAAGTAGTTTTTTTTCAATTCGGAACACCCACAACGACATAAGAGACTGAACTCTTTGGAAGGCAAACTAATTCGGACAAACTAGTATTCATTGACATCTCTCCTCCCTGACCTTTATATAGACCATCCACATTTTCAATTGCATATCATTATGTGTAGAATAAGTATTTATACAAATCCTACCATACCCATATTTCGTCTACTCATATATTTAACATATATTACGCATGTAATTTCTAAGTTATTTTCTTATAAGATCATCCAAACGATAAGGTTAGAATAAATCTTTAAATGTATTTTGATTATTCTCTAATAAACAAAAAATAAAACAAATTTGAAAATCGATTTATATCAAACAATATATATTATTTATTATAAAATGAAACAACATGAATTATGATGAAATTGAAATAAAGAAAGGAAAGAAAAACAAATTACTATGGGAATTGAGGTGCATGCAAATATCAAATAAACACAACAGACATTTTATTATGGTTTGTTCTGGTTTTAACGCAATTAAGGTGTCTGTTGAGTATCATTGGCGCCTCCTGAAGATGCAGGTGGCGTTGCAGATGTTGATGCTTCATCAGCTCCATGATTATCACCCATCTGTTGGTTTTGTGTCATGAAGAAATCATCAGGCATAGGAGTATCAGAATATTCCGGTACTTTATCGGGTCCCATGGTGGCCACGATCTCATTCTTTGCTGAGATGATTTGCTCTTTCAAATTGTTGAGAATTTTTTCATAAGCCAAAGACATCCCATAATACCCTGTTACAGGATCACGTATGCGGGCTTCAGCTTCATAGCTGAGAGCCTTAACAGCATGTTCACGTTGTAAAGGTGAGAAAGTCTCATTGCTCAGTATTTTGTAAACGTTTTCGGCTCCAAAAATTTTATGCACACGGTCAAATTTTTCAGGCTCCGTCGATGGAAAATATGGCGCAAAAACGCATTCACCTGTACACACGGATTTCAAGACTTTGCATGCAGAGCAAGGGTTGGAAGTCATTCTTCTTCTCTTTATTATCTCTTTTAACCCTAAAAGACACAAGTGGATGAAATCAGAAGAAATAAATCTTGAATCTTCATCTACAATAAGACTACAAATTTTAGAAAACAAGATTGAGGTATTGATACTAGACTCAAAGATCACAAAGCCAAAATCAAATGAAATTGCTAAATGACTTGAAAAAAAGACCAAAACTGTTAATACCTTGAATAACTTGAAAATGTGACTGATGTTTGTAATGAGGAAAATAGTCTTGGTTTTTACGGCATTTATATAGAAACTTTGAATTTCTATGTTTAGAGGCAAGTCCAATTATAAATGTCTAAAGTTTGACTAATACCTTCTATATTTTCAAATTACCTTAAAGTGATAGGGTAGACTACAAACTCTCTTTTCTGGAAAGATAATATCACATTAATGTTTTCTCAAAAATAAAAGATAATATCACATCTATGTGTACGTTTCTTTTTTATTTATTAATTAGTAATATTACATGACTTTTCATTTCTCATTATTTCAATACATCAAAAATTTTAGATATTTAGGGTTTATCAGGTATGTCATAGCTGAATATCAAATAGCTAAATAAAAATAGTATACTAAATTAGACGAGAAAACTCAAGACTTAATAAACTTAAAACGCTAAAATACTGTTGTTTGTTTGATAGATAGGTTTTATCTAAAACTATTTAAAATTTTAAAATTTGCGAGATTGAAAAATAATTTGTTAATTTATTATTATCATTTTGTTCTTATAACTATAAACAGTATATACTAATTAGAATCATATTCTAAAAACAGAAAAACGTGAAAATTCATATTATTCAAGCTCATAATTTTAATTAAGTTTTTATTTGTTTTAGGCTTTTAACTAGTTATGGTTATTTTTTCAGTGTCGGATATCAGTTCAGCTTTTATATGATATTTCATAAGAGAAACTAAGTTTTGTTTTAAATATATTTTGTGTATCCAAAATAGTATGTGTGGTTGTTCATCAAGAAGCTACATGTTTTCGTTGTTGGTCTTTTCAAGCTACGTGCATGTTTCAGTTGCTTCCCATTCCGAGAGATGATTTTTCAAACGAGGTTTGAGTCGTTTGACACAGATAGCTAACCAGTGGTTAATAAATTTACATATAAGATGTATTTCTTCAGATGTCAAATTATTCGTATAAACATTCTTTAGCCCTTAACTTGGTCGGCGTAATGACTTCCATTTTTTCCATCAAAAGCAACAAAATTATTACTACCAAACCAACTGTATAATTTAAAAGACCAAGGGCCACCTATTCTGGAGCACAATTCTATTAGAACTTCGACTTGTGGGAAGTCCATTTCCGAGTAATTAGCCTCCACTAATGCCTCCTTCCCTTGAGGCCTTGACAAAAGATCATGATCATTGACATGTTAGTGACTTTTCATAATGTAAACATTGAAATTGGAATTTGATTTTAAGAGAGATTTGTTTTTGTGAAGCAAGGAATCCCAAACCAAAACTCGAACTACTTCTCATAACATGTGAAAATATGGACTTTCTTGCTATATGTGGTATCCACAAGCTGCTAATAAACTATAATTTACATTAGAGTGGAAAATTTTGATTTCTTCTCTCCAACTAACAGAGTGAATCTTCAACCACTATGCCACTTGATTTAATTCATTTTAAGAGAGATTCATAACCTTGAAGTTGCCATCGATCTTTCCTAATGTGTTTTAACAAGTTTTATCCTTACAGTTAAGATTCACAACAATATACATATGCATAGATATATGTACGGAGTATGCGTTTTCAATCAGGACTGCTTGTGATCTAAAAGCCTGGTGAGCTTGTGCTTTAGACCACATTTAATTTGGTTACCTTCCCATTGCAATACATGATTATGGTTTCTTGGTTTACATGATGTTTTTGGGTGAAATTCTCCATTTACTCAGACAAACAATATTGCAATCTCTTAACACTGAAACCAAAGAAAATAGAAAACAATATTGCACTTTAATTTTGTGTATTATGTTACTTGACGAATTTTCTTTCACAATTTTTTTTCCTAATTTTAATTTATCTTATTAGTTCTACCACAATCCATAGTTTCAATGTTTATATATTTTTATAGATTTTTATTATTTTTATTTCTCACATCATTTTATGTTTTTAAAATTATTAATGACAAATTACCACAACCAATTCGTTTGCTCAACTAGCCTCTCGTAGGTTAGGGCCGACCAGGCTTCAAGAGAGTAGTTAGACTAATTCATAGTTCCAAAACGACCCAAAAGACAGCAAGATTGAGTTCGAAACAACAAAATCAGTTCTCAAGCTATACAATGTGAAAAAATCAACAAAAAACTAAATGAAGCCAAACATTAAAAATATGAAGCTAAGAGAACAAGGTGTTTGCCGCTTATATATCTGCGCAAGCCAAACAGAGAAGATTGAGAGAACTCCAACCTTATAGTGAAACAGAGACTCACATAACTACAACCATAGAGACCTCTGCTGAATAATATTCGTTTTTTTCGAGCCAACGTAAACACTAAACTACCATTTCACAAAAAAAAAATCCGGACTCATCTCAGTATCAATCTTTGGGTTATAGGCTTATAGCCAGGTTCAACTTGCGCCAAAGTGATGTTGGCATGAGTTACAACATCACCATTCCTCGACAACAAATTTTTTTGACCCAAGCCCAACTCAAGATGAAACCTTGTTTTTTTTTACCGCTCATACAAGTTACAACATTATTTTCAGGAATCAAATAATTATCCCCAAATTTTAGATTCTAAATATCGCTTGACCATTCTCCTTACCCAAAAGCGATCAGAGATATAATGACAACTTGAGTATAAAGGGTGCTTTCTTGTTGAGAATAGAATGTAGAATTCAATTAGGACTTTGTATGAATATAATTTCACTTAATTTTTATTAACTTAATTTTTATGTATATCTAACTAGTTTTTTTTTTCCAATTCGCAACACCCACAACGACATAAGAGACTGAAGTCTTTGGAAGGCAAACTAATAAGACAAACTAGTATTCATTGACATCTCTCCTCCATGACCTTTATATAGACCACCGACATTTTCAATCGCATATCATTACGTGCAGAATAAGTATTTATAAAAATCCTACCATTATACCCATATTTCGTTTACTCATATATTTAACAAATATTACGCATGTAAATTCTTGTTCATGTAATTTTTATGTTATTAAATTATATATCATCCAAAAGATCTAGGTCAGAATCAATCTTTAGATGTATTTAGGTTTTTCTCTAATAAACAAAAAATATAACAAATTTGAAAATCGAACTAGATCAAACAACATGAATTATTTTTTATATAATGAAACTACATGAATTTGTGATGAAATTGAAACAAAAAAAAAAGAAATGACAACAAATTATTACGGGAATTAAGGTGCATGCAAATATCAAATAAACACAATAGACATTTCATTATGGGTTGTTCTTGTTTTAACGCAATTAAGATGTCTGTTGAGTATCATTGGTGCCTCCTGAAGATGCAGGTGGCATTGCAGATGTTGATGCCTCATCAGCTCCATGATTATCACCCATCTGTTGGTTTTGTGTCATGAGGAAATCATCAAGTATAGGAGTATCAGAATATTACGGTACTTTATCGGGTCCCATGGTGGCCACGATCTCATTCTTTGCAGAGACAATTTGCTCTTTCAAATTGTTGAGAATTTTTTCATAAGCCAAAGACATATCATAATACCCTGTTACAGGATCACGTATGCGGGCTTCAGCTTCATAGCTGAGAGCCTTAACAGCATGTTCACGCTGTAAAGGTGAGAAAGTCTCATTGCTCAGTATTTTGTAAACGTTTTCGGCTCCAAAAATTCTATGCACACGGTCAAAAATTTCAGGCTCCGTCGATGGAAAATATGGCGAAAAAACGCATTCACCTGTACACACGGATTTCAAGACTTTGCATGCAGAGCAAGGGTTGGAAGCCATTCTTCTTCTCTGTATTATCTCTTTTAACCCTAAAAGACACAAGTGGATGAAATCAGAAGAAATAAATCTTGAATCTTCATCTAAAATTTACTTTTCTTTGAGACTCATAACTGAAGATCATGAACGTGAAAATTGATAAACAAAACAATGAGTGAGTAATATAAATCATATAATGAAAACAGAACAAAATATATATAGATATATTGTTGTCCCAAAAAATATATATATATAGATATATATATATATATATCATACAAAAATGATTTTCAAAACCTTTTATATTAGATTTTTATATTACGTGGGTTTAAACACAAGTTATACAACCATGAACATATGTTTGTGGTTAAACTGTGAGACATTGAAATTTGTTTACTAAAACTTCTATGGCTTTTAGGAAAACAAAAAAATCCTACGGCTTTAATGTAATATACAGAAAAAAAGATCGAGATATTGATAATAGACTCAAAGATCACAAAACCAAAATCAAATGAAATTGCTAAATGAATTGAAAGAAAGACCCAAGATTGTTAATACCTTGAATATCTTGAAAATGTGACTGATGCCTGTAATGAGGAAATTAGTCTTGGTTTATAAGGCATTTATATATACCTTGAATTTGTATGTTTAGAGGCAAGTCCAACTATAAATGTTTAAAGTTTGACTACTAGTTAGATATCTTCCATATTTTCAATTACCATAATGTGATATAGTAGACTACATACTCTCCTTTTTGGAAATATAATATCACATTAATGTTTTCTCAAAAAATAAAAGATAATATCACATTTATCATTCATTAATGTGTATGTTACCTTTTTATTCATCACTAATATACATGACTTTCATTTTTCATTATTTCAATACATCAAAATTTAGATATTTAGGGTTTATTTCAATACATCAAATTTAAATATTTTGGGTTTATCTGGTATGTTAGCTGAATAAAAAAATAGTATAATCAATTAGATGAGAAAACTCAAGACTTAATAACTTAAAATGCTAAAATACTATTGTTTGTTAGATAAATAAAGTCTTATCTAAAATTATTTTAAAATTTAAAATTTTCGAGATGAATTGAAAAATATTTTGTTAATTTTTATTATTATCATTCTATTCATATTACTATAAAAAAGTATATACTCATCAAAATTATATTTTTAAAACAGAAAAAAGTGAAAATTATATATTATTCAAATTCGTAGTTTAAATAAGTTTTATTTGTTTTAGGCTTTTAGCTATTTATCATTTTTCTACCAGTGTCGGATATCAGTTTATTTTTATATGATATTTCATAAAAAACTAATTTTTTAAATATATTTTGTGTATCCTAAATTATATGTGTGGTTGTTCATCAAGAAAGTACGTATTATATTTGTTGGTCTTCTCAAGCTGCGTGCATGTTTCTGTTGCTTTACATTCCGAGAGATATTTTTTCAAACGATGTGTGAGTCATTTGACACTGACACATATTGTGAATGCAGTGGTTAATAAATTTACATATAAGATGTATTTGTTCTTAAGATGTTGAACTATTCGTATAAACATTCTTTAGCCCGTAACTTGGTTGGCGTAATACCTTCCATTTTTTTGTTATCAAAAGCAACAAACCAAAAGTGTAGTTTAAAAGACCATGAGCCACCCCTTCTTGAGCACAATTCTATTAGAACTTTTTACACATGGGAAGTACATTTCCGAGTAATTAGCCTCTATTAATGCCTCCATCCCTTGAGGCCTTGACACAAGATCATAATCATTGAACATGCTAGTGATCTTTCATTATTTGAACATTGAAATCGAGCTTTGATTTTAAGAGTGATTTGTTTTTGTTAAGCAAGGAATCCCATACCAAACCTCGTACTAGTTCTCAGAATATCTGTAAATCTGGATTTTTTTTGCTATTTATGGTATCCACAAGCTGCTAACTATAATTTATAGTGGAAGAATTTGATTTCTTCTCTCCAACTAACAGAGTGAATCTTCAACCACTAGCTATGCCACCATGAGTTGATTCATAACCTGGAAGTTACCATCGATCTTTCCTGATATGTTTCAACAAGTTTCATCCTTGCAGTTAAGATTCACAATAATATACATGCACATAAACATATATATGTACGGAGTGTGCGTTTTCAATCAGGACTGTTTCTGATCTAAAAGCCTAGAGGGCTTGTGCTTTAGAGCACATTTGGTTAATTCCCATTGGAATACATGCTTATGGTTTCTTGTTTTACATGATGTTTTTGGGTGAAATTTTCCATTTAGTCAGACAAACAATACTGCAATCTCTTAACATTGAAATCAAAGAAAATATAAAACAATATCGCATGTTTTGTGTATTATTTTACTTGACGAATTTTCTTTCACAATTTTCCATTTTTTTATTATACTAATTCTATCAAAACCAATAGTTTTCGGTGTTTCTTATCTTTTTAATTTTATTATTTTTACTTTTCACGTTATCTTATATGTAAAATTATTAATGGCATGTATTCGTTTTCTCAAGTAGCCTCTGGCAGGTTAAGGCTGGCTTGGCCTCAAGAGAGTAGTTTAGATAATTTATAGCTCTAAAATGACCTAAAAGACAGCAAAATTGGGTTCGGGACAACAAAATCATCTCACAAGTTATCAAGCTAACAATGTGAAAAATTCTACGTAAAAACTAAACTGTTAATTTATAGGTCACGATTTCATTAGTTGATGAGCCAATTTGCTCTTTTAAACTGTTAAGAATATCTTTAAAAGCTAAAGATATACCAACATAACCAGATACAGGGTCTTGTATAGGAATCTCTGCCTTGTAGCTGAGAGCGTTAGCAGCATATTTACGTTGGAAAGGTGAAAAAAATATCTTTACTTTGAATTTTGTATATATGTTCGGCTTCAAAACATCAAGTTTTTCAGGCTCGGTCGATGGAAAATATGGAAAAAACGCATTTGCTTGTACATATTGATTTCAAAACTTTGCACGCAGCACAAGGATGGGATGTCATTATCTTTTAACCTTTAAACACAAAGTAAATCAATAGTTAAAAGTGTGAAATTGTTTTTTAAAAACAAATTATATGGCTTTTATTCATTGTACGAATCGAAAAAACTGGGTATTCAAATACTCGAATCAAATATATTAAAGCAAAAATCATGTAAATTTATAGAATGAATTGATAGAAAAATTGAGATAAAGTTATACATTGAGAATCTTGAAAAAGCAGCAATTAAATGTGTTGATGCCCCATAATGAAAAATAATTGTTTCGGTTTTATACATATGCTCTGAAACATTAATCAAAATATTATTTTATACATTTTGTTAAGATAGCAATAAGTCCAATAAATATTTAAAATCTGACTTTTTCTTTTTATATATTTTTAAATTACCATAAATAATTTGACTGTATTAATGTTTATGGTAATTTGAAAAAGACAAAAAAAAATTCAAAAAATTTTAAGTATTTATTGTACTCAAACTACCTTACCTAAATGTATAAAATAATGTTTTGACTAATATTTCAAAGAATATCTATAAAACCGAGATAATTTTCTTCATTATAGGACATCAACACATTTACTTTATTTTTAAGATTCTTGAGGTATAACTTTATTTTAATTTCTCTATCAATTTATTGAACAAATTTGTGTACTTCTTCCTTTCTCTAAATCGATGTGGGACAATATATCTTCTTAAAATTAAGCGTGCATCTTTATTTTTTTAATTTGTTTCTCAAATGAAAAAAAAATATTACCTTGCAAACAAGATTTTTTTAGTTTGACAAACAAAATGAAAGAAACAAAAGTACATTTGATTTTTTTTTGAAAAAAAAAACAATATTGCCCCACATCAATTTTAAAATCTAACAAAAATGTTTAAAAAAACAAAAACTGGAATCTATTTAAAAATTAATAGAATGTCTAATCAAACTGTTTTTAAAATTATATAAAACCGACATTTAGAAGAAAAAAACAAAAAATCAAAATAATAATAATAATAAATAATTTTTGATATATGTCTAATGAAATATCGTTAATTATAATATTTAGATTATGATTTTTGATTTCTTATTTATATACTACTTCAAACCTCTTTACCCTTTTACTAAAATCACAACCTTATTTGTAAATTTAGGATTTATCTAATTTAGAATATAGTTGAAAAAATTTAATATTCTTAAAATTATTTATTTAAAAATTATATTTGATAAATATATATAGTCCACGCAAGGCGTAGACAGATTAATTAGTTTTTATTTTATTTGAGAATCAAAATAAAAAAAAAATAAAAGAAAAGTCATACCGACATGCTTAATTTAAAAATGTTGTGCTGTCCCACATCTATTTCTAAAAAGGAAGAAGTAAACAAATTTGTTCGATAAATTGATAGAGAAATTGAGATAAAGTTATACCTCGAGAATTTAAAATGCAGTAATTAAATTGAGATAAAAAAAAATTATCACATTATTTGCACCATATTAAAAAAATATATAAAAAATGACACTCAAATCCATCACATTTGGTAATTTGAAAATAGATATATAACAAGAAGTTAAAATTTAGATGTCAAGTTTTGACTTCTTGTTATATACATATTTTCAATTTACCAATAATGTATTTAATGTGATAGATTTGACTGTCATTTTTTATATTTTGGAAAGTAAATATCATTTTCATCATTGGCTTTGGTTTTAAGTTTGTCCTTTCTTTTTTCATTTTGTTTGTCAAATTTTTTAGCGGACAATAATATTAGTTTGTTTGTCAATAATATATATATATATATAACCAAAATATCTTCGGAATAAATGGGTCATTGGAGTATATATATATATATATATATATATATATATATATATATATATATTCTTACTTGTGGGATTCTCTAATACTTTAATTTTTCTACTAAATGATGTCATCCGTACGTACTTTGGATTTTTCATTAATATGGTTATGTATTTCTTAGAATCAGTGATGCGGTAGTGAAAAGAATTAGGCCATGAGGCAGTCCAAAGACCT